ATAAAAGTACTCGTCAATGAGCACTGATAAATGAAGTGTACTTTTATAGGGTGTGTATTGTCGTTCTCAAAGGATTGACAATAGATATTGGCCCTGTTTGGTAAAAAATTGGCCTATAGGCCAATTTTGACTTATTTGATCACTATTAATTGTTTGATTTAGTTAAAATATCAATATAAATGTTTGGTTAATTAGCTTTTTGCAACTCCAAAAGGTTAAAATTCAAAAAGCTACTCCAAACAACTTTTTCAATTAACTTTTTGTAAAAAGAAATTATACCAAACAGCTATCAGCTAACAGCTAATTTACCAAACACTATTCTACAATCAGCTAATGTTATCAACTATTTATACCATCAAATTAACACAATCAGCTAACAGCTAACAGCTATCAGCTAACAGCCATTTTACCAAACAGGGCCATAGAGTTTATGGTTCTCAAGCACAAGGTACTAGATCCTCTATTGTAAATCTAGCTACCTAGCCCTTAATAAAAGATGGTTGATGCAAAGAACAAACAAACACAAGCTAAGTGTAATGGATAACAATAATAGGGAAGAAGGAAGAAATAGGAACTAGCTATTATTAGGTCTAGGTAATGCAACTAAATAGGGAATAAGAGAAAGAATCAATTGGATTGATAACAATATTTTTTAATTGGGAGAAAGCCTTCCTCAAAGTCATCCCATACTCTGAGTTAGTCTTAAAGCACTTAAGCACATTCTCATGATTCATAAGTGGCTAAGAGACATTTCATCAATCACCTTTGTCTTCACATTCCATACTCTCATTTTCACAAAGGCGAAGTAAGGTCAATTAAACCATTGAGTCTAGATACCGGAGGATATTTTAAGCATTATTTCAATATTTCATTGTAGGATGAGTGGTAAGTGTTGCTAGCAATTTCATCGTACATACAATTTCAAGTCTGATGTGATTATGTGGAACTTCTGGAGTAATGCACTTTCGGTCTTAGTATCCTTATTATCCTCTTCAAGCCTAAATTGCTTCTTATCTACTTCAAGAAATTTGACAACCGTTAGTACGATGAGCACATGATACTTATCTATATATAAATTATCTTCATGACATTTTTCAAATAGGCTATTTTCATGACCAGCGATCGAGTCTCACCGGTGACAATGTGGGAGCAACCTCACAAAGTGTGGGAGACTTCTTGTGCGCAGTAAACAAAGGTTTAGCCTCTTTTAACAATTAATGAATAAAAAGTGAATATGGAAGAACCAAAAATATCATTTTTACCTTAGTTTTAATAGTTCAATCTAATTATGTCAAAATAAAAAAATAAAAAAATAAAAAAATAAAAAAACCAAAGTTACAAATGAAAGATGAAAAGTGGCTATGAGAAAATTACAAAGATTATTAAATAATTTAAGGACAAAAAAATCAATTTTTTTATCTCGTCACTCTTTAATGTTACAAGATAAAAGTAAGTTTAATTATTTTACACTTGTAGAGTTGTGGTATAAGTTTTACTTGATGAGACAAGATAAAGGCCCTGTTTTGTTTTACAAGCGAATGTTTGTTATGAATTATATTCATGACCAGTATAAGACTAATATTTTTTCCATCGTGATATGATATCAAGAATTTGAGTTGTGTAAATGCAAAAAATAACATCAATTTTATTTATCAAATTTCTTTTTTTAAATGCAGTAGTTTGAAAATAGAAAGATGATAAATATTTGTAAGGGTGTGTTTGGTTGGTGGGTTTTGCCCATAGGAATGGGTATGAAAGTGATTGTTGTTGTTTGGTTGATTGGTTTTTAGAACACTACTATGGGTTTCGAATACTCCATCAATTGAAAAACTCATATCCAAATACAATAGGGGTCGTTTGGTTCATGGAATGTCAGATTACCTTAGGGAATGTTAGATTGCTGGGAATGTTAGATTACTGGGAATGTTAGATTCCTGTGTTTGGTTAAAATTGGGGTATGTAATATAATCATGTTTGGTTTAGAGTTATCTTTTATTCACACACTATAATATCCTTAACATATTTTCATATATTTTAATAAATTTAAAAATTAAAATAAATAAATAAGATAACGGTATCATATATAATTACATGATTTTAAAATATTAACTAAAATATTGAACTTGAGAAACAAAATTATTTTATATGCTAACCTAGCATAATAAAAATAAAAAAATATATATATAATTACAAAAATAATTATATATGTGTGTGTGTGTGTGTGTGTGTGTGATAAACTAACATAACCAAGGTTATCTTACATAATCTTAGAAATTGAAGGGAATCACATTCCCTTCAAAATCGATTCCCTTCAAAATCCTATGTGGAGGGAATGTGACATTCCTGAGGAATGTTAGATTCCCTGAGATAATGTGAACCAAACATAGGAATGTGAGTTTTTGAATGTCACATTCCCTTGGTTATGTTATATAACCTGAACCAAACGCCCCCTAAGGGTTTCATTATCTTATTCATTCTCAAGCACTACTATTAGTAACCATTTTCATTTCACCCTATTACCAAACATGTTAAATACTTTCACCAAAACTCATTATCATTACCAAGTATTTGATTCCGATTCCGATTCCGATTCCGATTCCGATTCCTATGTGCGAACCAAACACACCCTAAGTTTTTGCAAAATATTTTAAGACTACAGTGTTATGCAAACGATAATTTTTAATTCCCAAAAAATCAATTCTAAATTACAGCTACGGACCAGATTCAAAAGTGCAATCAGAGCATATATTGCGGTGATCGTGGATCGAACACGAGACCTTCAGATCTTCAGTCTGACGCTCTCCCAACTGAGCTATCCCCGCTTAATGGTGGAAGATTGGTTTTAATGATTATTGTACATTTGAAATTAAAAAATCAGGATAATTACACATACAAAATTATGAAAAATTATTTTAATTTATTATATAGTTATTAATATGAAAAATAATTGTTGAAAACAACTTTAAATAAATAGAGATTTGCAAAGTTTACAAATCAGAATGGGTTAAAAACTTATTTACATACAACATTTGTATAACTATTTTGTTCTTTTTTTTTTTTCTATCATTATCATACATGTTGAGATTTTCAAATTCTTTATTTTTCTTTGGAACTTGAAAGGCACCTTGATATAATACAATCATAAAAATTAGATATTTCAGAAATCACAAACAATAAATTCACAAAAAAATTAAAATTAATGTGTATTACGTAATTTCTATTCAAATTGATCAAAGCAACATGTCACGGCGTACATTTTCATGGATTGTGATCTTAGCTTTCTCCTTTCCCATCTTGGAGAATGCAACAGTATTATACGAGCCACCATTGCCAGCTGGTTGCACCATCATCAATATGCTTCGAGAGATAAGCTATAAACAATGTTCCAAGCAAATAAATGATCACGTTAAGAACTTTAATTGATATATATAGTGTAAGAGTCTCATACAAATGACACAAAGCGTTGATTCTCCACTACTCACAAACACTTAAATGTTTGCATTCTCAAGCAATTTAATGTTTGCCACCAAGTATTGAAGATGCCACATATCATTTATAATCTCAAACATATATTAACTATAATATCATTGTTACCACGGATCTGATCTTGTCTTATATACATTAGCTTTGTAAGGCAAAATTTTGATGAGTACTTTCGATTTTTGTCCCATTTTTTTCATTCCTAGAACATCTAATGTTATTGCTCACATTTTAGCAAAATCTTGTCAATCCTCTCTGCAGGATTATAATTTGTATTGAGACATTGCCCCTCCTAACTCTATTTTAGAGTTCTTGCATTAATACATTCTCTATTTCCCTTTCAAAAAAAAATAATAAATAAACTATAATATCATTAATATTTCATACATGATACAGTGTCATATTTGATATTTTAATACTTAAAATCCCTTAGGAGTGGAGGTCTCACCGGACAAGTGAGTGTTTCAAGACATGTATCAAGTGGACTGAATTACCTGTAAATTTTACCCCAACAAACAATATTCATCAAGATCTAGATGTATACCCATTAAAAAAGTTGTCCATGCATTCTCGATGGCCTGTGAAATTTAATTCCATGTGTGCACAATTGTATATTGTGGCACAAGCCATCAACAACACCCTTCAGTTAAAAATGACCTATCGAAATTCCATATAACTCAATTATGCTCATTTGAAAATTATTTTTAAATTATTTAAGTTTTAATTGAAACAAACCGATACAAACTCCTAAACTAGGACTGACTCTAAAAAGGTTTCTAAATAATCTACGAAGAACTATAAAATATAAAATTTAAAAAAAAAAAATCTTGTATAAAATCATTTATAATTTAACAGATTTAATAAGAACAATCAATATTGTTTAAGTTATAAAGAGAATAAACATTTAAGAAAAGCTTTTTGCTTTCATGTTTTTTATTCTATATATAAATTCTTTGAGTAATCACGTATTATTAATTTCTTTCATGTTTTTTTTTTATTATTCTATATCTAAATTCTTTGTTTAATCACATATTATTGATGGTATAATTCTCATGTATTGTTATGGTAGCTTCATTATATATATAATAGATTTTGACCATATTGTATAAAAGTCTTTTCTTATGAATATATTTAAAACATCCTTTCAATTAAAAAAAAAAAAAAAAAAGATTCAAGAGTATTTAGTCATCACTAGAAATCTAGAATTATTTGCTTATTTTGCCAAGAATTCTGACAAAAAAATGACCAATCAATTGCAGTGCTCGTGGATCAAACACAAGACCTTCAAATCTTCACTATAACGCTCTCCCAACTAAGCTATCCCCGCATTTGAAACTTTATGCTACTTTCTTAATACTATTCGAAAATAAAAAATCAGAATAAAAGTGAAACTTTATTACGGAGTATATATATATATATATATATATATATATATATATATATATATATATATATATATATATATATATATATATATATATATATATATATATATATATATATTTTGAAAGCCAACCAACTTATAATGCATTAGCCATTCCAGGCTCAAGAAAAGAATGAGGTAAATCCCTCCAGACAGTTCGCGCCAAAGAGGCATTTACATGCTTAGCCATGACATGGGCATCCTGTAATTCTCCCCTACGAACATGAATAACAACTGATCTAGTCATAGCAGACAACAAACGATTGCAATCTAACAAAACATTACCAAAATAAGTACGGAATGATCTTGCATGCTTAAGACTGGAAACTAAAACAAGACTATCGGAGCACACTAAAATCCTCGAGTATCCATTCTCCCTTAGCCATGATAAAACCTCACGCATAGCCATTGCTTCCGCCAAGAGGGGGTCATATGGGCAAATAAGAGGGCCATTCCCTGCCGCCACAAAGGTTCCATCTTTCTCATGCACTACAAAACCGTAAGCCGGTGCCTGTGTCGGACCATTGAAACCTGCATCAACATGACAGACCACACCATCATCTAACATTGTTGCTGTACTGGCGGGTTCATGGGCTCTGGGCGTGATTCGCCGTTGCTGTTCAACAGTAGTCCAAGAGTTCCACTTCACTGTGAACCTCCTTACCACCACGCCTGGCATTGGCAAATAGCCATCCCAAACCGCCTCATTCCTGGCAGTCCAAATATCGTATAACAAGCCACAAATCCTCCCCCGTTGTTCTGCATTATAGATACTCGTGCAGCCAAGCCAAAGATCAGTCCACTGGCTGAAATTCCTGTTGTCAAAAGTAGGGATTAGCAGATGAGAGAAATTCCACACCTGTGATGCAAAAGAGCAAGTACATAAAGCATGCATGATATTTTCCTCCTCCAAACCACATGCTGGGCAAATATTAATCAACTCAACTCTTCTATTAATCAAATTATCAAGAGTGGGCAAAATATCAGACAAAGCTCTCCACATAAATATTCTCCATCTTGGGGGACCTGTAAACTCCACAAATTACTCCATGCAGGCAAACACGGGCCATTGACCTCTCCCATCCTCCTGTAACCATCTTTAACTGAGTAGCAACCCCACAGATCCCTGTCCCAAAACCAGTCATCATCACAATTCAAACACACAGGAAGCTGTTTAATCAACATAACATCATGTGGGGCAAACAACTCAACTAGCAGGTCATTATTCCAACCGCTCGTGGTACTGTCAATCAAGTCCGAAACCAGAAGCTCCTGCCCCAGACCTGGATGGGTCGAGGCTACATATGGATCAACAGCATCGGGCAACCACGGATGATTAATTACCCTTGTGGACCTTCCGTTACCAATCCTACGCCTACAACCAGACTTTAGCAATGCCTGCCCTGCTAATATACTCCTCCACGCATAACTCGGGTTACCACCAATTGTGGCTTCATAAAAAGAGGATGAAGGATAGTACCTGGCTTTATACACGCGAGCCACAAGGGACTCCGGACTGGTTAATAGCCGCCACCCCTGCTTGGCTAACAGAGCAATATTAAACTCATGTAAACGTTTAAAACCCATACCTCCAAACTTCTTAGGGACGCACATTCGGTCCCAGGACATCCAGTGAATACTATTCTGTGAGCCACTCTGTCCCCACCAGTACCTCTTCATCAACCTTTCAAGAGCAATACACAAAGATGTAGGAAGTAAATAAATACTCATTGTGTAGGTGGGCATTGCCTGCGCTACACTCTTCAAGAGCACCTCTTTCCCAGCCTTAGACAGCAACTTCTTGTTCCATGATCCAAACCTCTGCCTCAATTTTTGCTCTACATATGCAAATATTGTTCTCCTATTACGGCCAACAACCGAAGGCAAACCAAGATATTTCCCGAAATCATCCTCTTGGCCCACCCCCAATGCCTCTGCAACCAGGTCCCTTACCCCCACCTGCGTATTACGACTAAACGTAATGCTTGATTTCTGGAAATTTACCGCCTGCCCAGAGAAAGCCTCATAAATCCCCAGACATTTCTTTACCTCCAGAACTTCCTGCATATTAGCCTTAAAGAAAAGTAAGCTATCATCTGCAAAAAAACAGATGTGAGATAGATGGAGCCCCCCTTGCCACTCTGTACCCATGTAAAAGGCCTTAAGCCTGAGAATCCTGCAACAACAACGATAAGCCCTCAGCACAAATTATAAAAAGATAAGGAGACAATGGATCTCCTTGTCTCAGCCCCCTCGTGGGCACTATTTCCTCTGTTGGCTTTCCATTGACTAGCACCCTATAACGTACCGTCCGCACACACAACATTACCAACTGGACCCATCTATCATCAAAACCCAAGCCAGTCATCATCCGTTGCACAAAAGGCCACTCCATCCTGTCATAGGCTTTCGCCATATCAAGTTTCAAGGCCGCCCATCCAACCTGCCCCAACTGTTTCCTCCTCAAATAATGGCCAACCTCAGACGCAATAAGTATATTGTCTGAAATCAACCTACCCGGTAAAAAAGCACTTTGCGAAACAGAAATCAAACCCTCAAGTAATGGTTTCATACGATTTGCAATCATCTTCGCCATGATCTTATACAACACATTACACAAAGCTATCGGCCTTAAATCAGATACAGACACAGGGGAGCATTTCTTCGGGATCAAAACAATATTAACATCATTCAAATTTGCAGGAAAAGACTTCTCAGACAAGCAATTAAGCACAAAATCAGAAACATCGTTACCTATGACATCCCAGAAGGCCTGATAGAAGCCAGGATTCATGCCATCCGGTCCTGGAGATTTATCCTTGCCCATAGAAAATAGAGCACTCCGCACCTCCTCCGGCTCAAAGGGGCGCAGCAACTCATCATTCTGTTCTCTGGTCACACAAGGCTGCAAGGTATCAACATTAAAAACCCCTGGATTCCCCCCTGAGGAGAAAATCTGCTTATAATAGTCCGTGACTACTGCATCCAAGGCACTGCCCTCCCTCCAAACACCATCCCCATCCTTCAGTCTCTGAATCACATTTTTCTTCTTCCGATACGTGGCATACTTGTGAAAGAACTTTGTATTTCTGTCAACCCCTGAAGCCAGTGCTGCTTAGCACGTTGCCTCCAGAAAACCTCCTCCTGAGCTAGCACCACACTCAACTGCTCATCAAGCTGCCTAAACCGTGCCAAAGAAGCTGGATCCCGACTACCCCGTAAAGCATTCATCTCCTTTTTAATCCCTTCTACCCGTTTCCCATACTTATGATGGCGATCCCCTCCCCACCTCCTCAAGCCCCGCCACACACGCCAAGCCTTGCCTGCAAAGCCAAACCCGGAGTATTAGACAATTCCCTCTCCACCACCTCCCTGCAACCACCATCCAGCAACCATGCATTCTCAAACCGGAAACCCCGGGGCCTCACCACATGATCCACCCCTCCTATACCCAGAAACAAAGCAGAATGATCTGACGAGTCAGTCCGGATATTAAAGACCCTCGCCCTATCATTGACATGTAACCAGTCCATATTCGCTACCACTCTATCCAGACGCTCCTCCACCCAGCAAGCAGTCCCCTTACCACGCTCCCACGTGTAAGGATACCCAATCATATGCAGTGTCATCAAACCGCAGTCATCTAGGGCCTCAGCAAACCCCTCAATCAAACCAACAGGATGCGGCAGCCTCCCCCTTTTCTCCGACTGCATCAATAGATCATTGAAATCTCCCAAGACCACCCACGGTAGGTCAGAAACCCCCTTGAGTGAACGTAGAAAATCCCATGCAGCCATCCTCTTATCCCTCTGTGGATAACCATAATAACAAGTTAACCTCCACAATGGCTTATCAGGCAAAGAAATCTCCAGATCAATATGAATAGTCGAATATTTAATCAACCGTGCTCCATTATTCCTGGCCCATAAAAAACACAATCCCCCTCTCTGCACATCACTATCAACCGCAAAACATCCCTCAAAACCCAATCTTACACGTAGCCTCTATGCATGACTCCTATCCACCATAGTTTCCATCAAAAACACGAACTCGGGCTTCTTCTTGGACACTAAGTCCACCACCTCCTGAACTGTCCGTGGATTGCCCAAGCCACGGCAGTTCCAAAAAAGGGTACTCATTGAGAGCGGTGGGCCTGGTCCCCAGGTCCCACCATACAAACATAATTCATATCCAGCTGCGCAGCCCTTACCTCGCTCACCACCTCACCACCCGGTCCCCTTCTCCGTTTCGGATCCACCCTCAAACCCCTCTCCTCCCCTTCTACCGCATCAGCCACCATATCAACCTGCTCACCCCCCAAACCCGAAACCCCTTCCATCATCTGACCCCGCCCCAAACTGCCAACCTCACCCCCTTCCACCCGTACCTCCCTCATCCCCAAACTGCCAGCCACACCCACAGCCCTTCCCTCATCCCGCACCCCCCACTGTCCAATTCCGCCCCCCCTTCCCACAGCAACCTCCCCAACCCGCGCTCCCCTCTGCAGCCCCCTTCCCACCACCACACCACCATAGCCTATTTCCCTCCTCCTCTCCTGCCCAAGCCGAAACCATTTGTCCCCCAGCACCTTGGATGCCCCCATTCCCCCCGCCTTCAATCCCGGACCATATATGTATTGCTTCGGCGTCAACGAGGACCTACGAGCCTCCAAGCAAAACTTGTCCACATGCCCCAACTTGCCACAATAATAACAGAAAACATTTAACAAAACAAAAATAAAAATTAGAAAACTATATATTTATTACGGAGTATATATTTATTAGAAAACTATACAAACTGTCAGTTACATACATTTAAATAAAAATTTAGTCATAAAGAAAAAACAAAACAATGTTAACATTTTAAATTTATAAATTGTATCAAGTTTTAACAAATTCAACCAATATGGTTGTAACTTGTAAAAGAGCCACTAAGAGCATCTCCAACGTGTAGGTAAAACGCCAATTTCTAACGCCAAATCACCATCGCAGCAATTTTGACAGCTCCAATGTGCGGCTCCATCACGGCATATCGCCAAATAATTTGGCGTTGATGAACAGTGATGCGCCATATATGGCGCAGCACTGTTCATCCACGCCATTTTCTAAAAATTTATTTAATTCTCGTTTTGCCCCTGCTTTAATTTGTTAATTCCTTTTGTATCCTTTATTTTGTTTTTATGTATTTATATATTTTGTTAAATACTTAAATATAAATATTATATTATTATAAATAAATTATATCATTTGAAAGATCTCATCAAGACGATTAAAACAAGACTAATATTGAATATAATTTAATTAAAAATTAAAATAAATAAAACATAACAACAACATAAAAATGTTTTTACTAAAAATTTATTATTTATATCACAAATTATATTTTGTATTAAACTAATTAATTTTGAATTAATAAAAATTTAATACTAGGGAAATCATATTATTTTAATTAGTGTTGAATAACATTTGATGTGACATTTGGTAGAAATTTTGGTATTTTGGTGTTAACGGGTTGGAGATGAATAAAATTTGGTGTAGAGAATATTCTCTTTGATGTGACATTTAGGAGAGATTTTTGGTGTTTTAGTGTGAAGTTTAGGTTGGAGATGCTCTAAGGGCATCTCCAACCCAATTCACACCAAAACATCAAATTTATCCACCAAATGTCACATCAGAAGGAATATTCTCAGCATATTCTCACACCAAATTTTATTCATCTCCAACCCATTTACACCAAAACACCAAATTTTTACATTAAAATAATTTGATTTCTCAATTATTAGTTCAAATATAATTAGTTTAATATAATTTAGTTCGAACTTAATTAGTTTAATATAAAATATAAGTTATGATGTAAATAATAATTTTTATTAATATTAATTTTTATTACATTAATTATTTAAAAAAATCAAATTTAACAATATTTTTGAAAATTGAATTTATTCCAATAATAATATAGCATACGACATCTTGTACATTTAATTATCAGAATTACTATATCGTTCCCACAAATGCTCAATTAATGCATTACGGAGTGCATAATGAGCTTCTTTATCTTTAATTTGTCTATGCCGAGCAAGAAATTTTTGAAATATAATATTTTCATCTCTAGCTATATCAACTTCAAGAGCCGGTGCTTCCTTCCAACCTTGTATATCTGCTTGTTCATCACATTTATCCTCAATGATCATATTGTGCATTATAATGCACGATGACATTATATCATGCAATACACATTTATCCCATAAACATGTCGGTCTCTTGACTATTGTAAATCGTGATTGAAGAACTCCAAATGCACGTTTTATGTCTTTTCTACACGATTCTTGTATCATCGCAAATAACTTCTTTTTTGGCCCTCGAGGTTCATGAATTGTTTGTACCTGTGGACCATTTTGGATATATACCATCGGCTAAATAATATCATGTTTTGTAGTCCTGTCCTTGAATAACATAATGACAAGGAGGTGCTACACCGTTTGCAAGATTTGCAAATAAATGAAATGCTTCCAAGACATTAATGTCATTATTAGACCCCGGCATGCCAAATCCACAAATCATAATTAGCTACAGCTTCAAGAATAATAGTTGGTTCTCTACTCCGCCCAGCATATTGTCCAGCCCAGCAAGTTGGACAATTTTTCCAAGTCCAGTGCATGCAATCTAAACTCCCAAGCATCCTGGAAAATCACGTTTTTCGCCAATTTGAAGCAATCGTGCAACATAATTAGCATCAGGTGCTCTTAGATATCGCTCCCCAAAGACCTATACAATTGCTCGACAGAATCTCTTCAAACTTTCAATTGCAGTTGATTCCCCAATCTGGATATATTCATCTGTTGCATCTGCTGGTATTCTGTACGCCAAAATTCGAAACGCCGCTGTAACTTTTTGTAAAGTAGATAAGCCCAGTCTACCGATTCTATCATTCCGTTGCACAAAATAGTTGTAATGGCCTTTAACATCATTGGCAATTCGTAGGAACAAATTTCGACTCATTCGAAATCGTCTACGAAACATTGCTTCAGAATATTTTGGATACTCTAAAAAATAATCATTCCATAATCTTCGATTTGCATCTTCACGATGACGATGAATCACTCTATGACCAAAAGTCGAACCTCCATGGCTTGGGGGTTGATTATCCATATTTTCCAAGGTTGTGGCTAGTATATGCATTGGTTAATAATTGTGTTTGTTGTCGTATTGCACTTGCAAGATTGTGTTCAGAATCCGATGATGAGGATGATGATGAAGAAAATGGCATAGGACGTTTTCTAGTGTTGGAATTCATATTTGAATTTGTATGTTTAGAGATAGATCATAAGGGGATGAATGCTCAATTTGTTGGTGATGCAGAACGTTTTTATAGGGATAAAAGATATCACATGCATCTTTGGTATAAAAGATATCTGAATTGTTTAAAACCGTTAGATTAGATCACGAAGATCACATCCATTCATTGGTATGCTTGTCCTTTTCCACACATATTCCAATAAAAGATATCACATGCATCGCGAAGATCACATCCGTTCATTGGTATGCTTGTCCTTTTCCACACATATTCCAATAAAAGATATCACATGCATCTTTGAATCAGCTTTTATCTAAATTGTTTAGAACCGTTAGATTAGATCACGAAGTTCACATCCGTTCATTGGTATGCTTGTCATTTTCCACACATATTCCAATAAAAGATATCACATGCATCTTTGAATCAGCTTTTATCTAAATTGTTTAGAACCGTTAGATTAGATCGCGAAGATCACATCCGTTCATTGGTATGCTTGTCCTTTTCCACACATATTCCAATAAAAGATATCAAGTGCATCTTTGAATCAGCTTTTATCTAAATTGTTTAGAATCGTTAGATTAGATCGCGAAGATCACATCCGTTCATCGATATGCTTATATCTCTATACATACTACAATTCGATTTTAGAAGTAATACCACCTATCTTTTGAATATCAAAATCTATTTACATTTCTTTATAGTTTAGCAGTCATTGAAATGTCAAAATCCTCAAGTTCAATCCGAACTTCCTCATACTCAAATGAAGAAGATAAAAGTGCAATGATCTATAGTATAGAAATTATAGATCTATAATATAGAAATTAAGGATCCAATTCCGTGTGCACCTTGCATGGTGCATACAGTTGCACAGCATAACGCTCCCTTGACTAATGAATCTTCTCGTAAATTCATCCAAAAAAAAAAAAAAAAAAAAAAAAGGAAAGGATTCTTGAGATGTGTTTAGTAATTTTTTTGAATCCATGGTTCTGTTTTTAATATTGGTGTTTGTTTGTGGTAGGTCCTCACAATTGACTATAACTGTAATTAGCTCCGTGAAGTTTGGTTTCCAAACATTCACAATTAGACTAATTCATGCCAGGTTCTGTTTTACCTGTATACATATCACCTTACAGGGTTGTAGATTTACAGTGGTGTTTTTGCCTTTTTGGGGTCCTCATCATTTCAATATCTTTTATTTTATTTCCATCTATTAGCTTTATTTCAATTAAAATTAAAAAAAAAAAAAAAGTTTTCAACTAAAATTTTTAGTGTGTTACCATAAATGCAATTTGACTTGACATTCTGGATAGTCTGTTCCGAGAATCAAGTTTATTGATTTAGACTAATTGAGTTTGTTTGTGGTTGCAATGCAAATTTGAATGTAGAGAATTATAAAAAATAATAATAACAATAATAATAATTTAATGAGAATCATAAAAATAAAATGAAAATTTTAGTGGCAGTTCGAAAATGTTACAATTATTACATAAGAAAAAAAATAAAAATATATTTTAGCGAATCTTTTATAACGACCGCTAATATTTATGGTAAAATTAAATAAAATGTTTACCGGAGGTTATATAAATGTCGTTAAATGTTAATAAAAATGACTAATTTTTCACGGGCTAAATGTAGTAAAAATCACCGCCAAATGATTGACGGACTAATTCCCGCGATTGTAAAAAATCACCGCTAAAACCTTTGCGACACACTATTTAGTCACGGTTGAATAATCGTCAGAAAACACAATAGTGGTAGTTTGTAATCGCCGCTAAATGCCTAATTTGGTGTAGTGTTTGTTGGCTCTTATTATATTTTGTAGTAATCAATTTGTGTTATTTATTATATATATAGTCATTAAAATGCAAAATAATTGTTACAACAACTTTAAAGAAATAAAAACTTACAAAGTAAAAGAAAAAAAAAAGTTTATTTAGATACGGTATTTTTTAAAAATATTTGTAATTTATCATGATCACATATTGGGATTTTCAAACTTTTTGTTTGGTTTGAAACTTGAAAGGCACCTACCATATAATACAATCATGAAAATTAGATATTTACCTGCATGGGCAGCTCAACTGGTCATAGAGGTGAAACTTTAGAAGAATGACCAGGGATTGAGAGCAACCTCTCAAAGTGAGGGGGTTCCTTGTGCGCAGTGAGCACCGATCTAGCCTCTATGGTTCAATGGTTCATATTCAGTTGAGTTACCATGATTTACATCCTCCCAAATACTCTGTCGGGTTGGGGTTCAGTCTTTTGGAAGAATGAAAATTAGATATTTTAAAAATTACAAACAATAAATTTCAAGAAAAAAAAAAAAAAAAAAAAAAAAAAAAAAAAAAAAAAACTTCTATTAAGTAACATTCTTGCAAAAATCGGTCTAGACGCCCCTAGACCGTGGTGATTTTTCCCCTAGGCGGCCGCCTAGCGCCTCACTCGACCGAGTTAACTCATCCATTTTGATTGAATTAATCGAGTTAACCAGGTCGATTCGGTGCCTAGGCAAGAACATATCGGTGTACATTTTCAACGTGTTATTAAAGTACGGAGTAATTTTCGTTTGGGGACAGACATAGATGTCAAGAGCAGACCAAGCGACCATATATCACATCCGGTAGGTTTAGCCAAATTCATAACTAGTGAAGCAAAAGATAATAAAACACCTATCTACCAAGCTAAAGGAGTTCGTTAAAAAAGGAACTAGCCCCCTTGTTAGCTGTGGAATACATTCGAGAGCTGGCCTACCCAAACTAGTTGGCTAATCTCATTTTAGGCTTTTAGCGCCAAAGCCACTAACATAGAGAATGTGTGTTGACTACATCAATCTTAACAAGGCTTGTTCCAAAGATCCATACCCCTTTCCAAGCATAGATCATGTGGTCGATGAGACTGCTAAATGTGAGCTCTTAAGTTTCATGAATACCTTCAAAGGTGATCACCAATACTTTCTGACAAAAAAAAAAGATGAAAAGAAGACTATCATTACAATTTCAGAATAAATTTTTTATTATGAGTAATGTCATTTGCGTTGGGCAACATAGGGGCTAAGTAAGATGGTTAACCAGTTGCTCAATAATTTTCTCGAGAAAACTACAAAAGCATATGCAGATGATATGTTTGTCAAAAGCAAAGGACAGGAATCCCACCGTTTCGACAAAGAAAATTGCTTTAAGATTATGAAAGCTTAAAATTTGAGGTTAAACCTAAACAAAAAAATTCTTGGAATTCATAATAACGCACCAAGGGATTCAACTTGACTCGAAAAAAAAGTTTAGGTAATAATGGAAACGCAAGCTCTAATAACAATGGAAGACGTTCAATAGTTAAAAGGCCAATTGGAAGCCTTGAGTGTCTTCATGTCCAAGTCAGTTGAAGAAGCAACAACGTTCTTCCAAACATCGAAAAAGACTAGTCCTTTTTAGTGGAGCCCGAAGTGCCAAAGTGCATTCAATGAGTTGAAGATGTATTTCGTATGGCTCCACACTTTCACGACAAAAAACAAATAATGTTGAATCGTTATATGCGTACTTGGTAGTGTCCAATCGAGCGGTTAGCCCAATCTTAGTAAGAGTGGATGAGGTTAGGAACCAAAGGCTCGTGTACCATGTCAGTCGAGCATTACAGTGGCCATGACAAAGGTACACGTGCCACGTGGTTCGAAAAAAAAAAATGATATACACAATATACATAAGGGCTAAGAAGTTAGCGACTTATTTCCAAGCTCACCTTGTCTAGGTTCTAACTAACCAACCACTGGAGATCATTTTGAAAAGTTTGACCTCCTCAAGCTAGTTTATAAGGTGGGTAACTACTGATGGGTTGAGCAAAAAAGAACTAGAATTTTGGGTGCAAACGCCCAAAAAGGATGTAGAGGTGAGTCCAATCAACGGAGATGGCAACCAATTTAGTCACCATCTCTAACGACGTAGAAGGCGACCAATTTGGTCACATTCTTTGGTTGATAGAGATGGTGACCAATTTGGTCGCCTTTTTTCTGGCAACTTGCTAGACTTGCCGTCACTGATTTTCTCCCGGAAGTTATCAAAACGTCGGTAGTGCATTAGTGACCTGCTAGTGCAGGTCTAACCAATTTTAAGGCCTTATTGTCCTAAATTAATACATTAATGTGTGTAATTGTAACTTTCAAAAGTTCAAAGATCTAGTTAACTTTTCGAGGGTGTATTTAACCCTTTTCTCAAAGTAAAATAAACTGTGTCACAATATCTGGTTAACATAAGTTATTTAACCACAAATGGTTATGCTCAAGTAACTTCAATGTCACATAATGTGTTGTCAAAATAATCAGATTAAAAGATAATCAACAAAGGAGAGTTCAGCCCTATTCCAATTCTCCTTCAGACTCACGACCAAAACAATCCTTAGTGGTTGGATTAAACTAGAGGTCAAAATGAGAAATTTGCTCCATAAAGAATGAGAAACAAAAGCATATTCTGCTTCCTACATTAAACTTCAATTAACATCTGTCATCAATGATGAATTGATGATACAATTACCATAAAATTACAAAATTGAATAGAACTTGGTTATGTACCTTGAAAAAATGAGAAAACTTTGCTGAATTAATAAGCTTAAACCTAAAGTGTGATTGGAGCTAAAACTACCAGTATCCAGTAATATTCTAGACAGAAAAATTGAATGGGATAAAGATAGCAGGTGGCCTCTGACATCAAATCCACCATCAATCCTGTTTGCGATGTAAACCCATAGCAATTCAGTGGTTACATTAACAGTGTAAGCAAATGACCGAAACACGATCTACTTTTTCCTTGCTTTTTCGAGAGCAATTTGCGAGTATCTTCATTGGTTGGTAGACATTTAAATATATTCAGAATCTGAGAGTTGAATCTTACTTTCACAAGTGAAAATCCTGGTTCAGTCTGCGTGCTCACGGAATCGTATGATGTTGTTGATAAAGCTCCTCTCTCGGCGATAGCTATTGAAAAAAAAAACTATGTTATAATTATGAATATACATATCAAACTTATCATGCTCCAATATTCTAAATAACCTTTACCTAATATATAGAGATTAATAAGCAGTACATCTATCAATTTTTCAAATACCTTTTACTAAAATGCATTTTTGCCAAAAAAGAAATAGAAGTTGGTTTTGCCACATGCGACTTCTTTTCCCAAACCCATTGATATAACCAAAATACCCTCATTTTTACACTTTTGGAAAGACGCATTGTAGAATTTTCCCGTGTGTGTGTGTGTGTATTCTAGATTTCTAAAATGGAGAGGGTATGCCAAACAACAAGAAGCACTGCTTTCAAACTAAATGTAACTAGATATACGTACATGGTTAAAGCCGTCACAAGGAAACAGGTAAACCCAACAGAGAAGTGAATACAGAATGTTCTCCAAAAATCATCATGGTCCAGAAATAGCTTTTCTGATACCATTGTCACTGCTCCAGAAAAAAACAAGGTGGTCCAGCCTGAAGGCAAGCAGCTACGGAAGGAAAATGAGGAATCCTGTGAATATATTGGAAATAAATCATATTTTGCCAACCAATAGCTTAACAAAGCAATGATGTTGTACCAATACCATAGACAAATCACAATATAAAGAGATTACAGGGATAAGCTTAAGGTATACCTGGAAATAATTCTTGATAAAGACTGCTGAATAGATTATCCTAAAAATCATATCTTTCTAGCAGTCAAAGAAACCAGTCAAACCACAGACCATAAAAACCTATATATGTAGAATATTGCATGAATGCTGACTTAGAGCAGGCACACCATGGCATGCATTACTACAGCATATGTAGAATATAAGAGGAACATCACACTGGACGCTGCAAACTATAATCCACATAGAAAGGATTTCACTACTTGCATGTTTGTCACTCATGGCAGATGTGAATTAGTGCACCTCATACATTATGCAAAAGAGGTACTACTGCTCTAGAACTAGCACCTTTTAGAGCCAATAATCACCATTTAAACTTCACAGGCCACAGTGATATCAAACTATAGAAAATCTAATGCACAACATTAATTACAATGCTATAGTTTATAAGAAAGAAGCAAACAACTAGTGACAAAAGATGGCTTCTTCGAAATAGAGGCATTGTCAAAGACTTAAAGGATTCTATAACAATTCTTACTCATAAACAAAAGATCTGGTGAGCTTAGTAGTAAAAGCTCTTTTAGTGTTGAAAAATAGTTTCCTTTCTGAGCTTGGTTCCTTGAACAAAACGCTAGCTGACTACATACTGAAGAGATATTGTGAGGCTATAAAAAACTCCCTAATAAGTAAAAACAGCAGCCAACTGAATGCATGTTAAAGAAGGGATGATGTATTCCATTGCATAAGCATGCCATCTACTGACAATGAATCAAATAAGAAAGGAATCAGCGCTTTCAAGTTAATGGTGCAAGGATACTCAAAGAATTTGCTAGAATTAGTCCAACTGCACCAGCTGATCGTATAAGTAACACATTCAGTACTAGGTAGATCAAAGAGAACACAAGCAAGGAATCATTTGACCTCTTCAGTTGATTCTCATTTGCAACTGCATGCAAAAACGCTTCAGATGTTCCTGTTTAAACAACAGGAAAAAACATGAGTTTGAATAGCAGGCATTTGAAATGTCAGTTCAGCTACACATCTTTTAGATAGTTAGCCAGCATTTCACCACATACTAGTGACCCCAAATATCTAGAAATAAATTTAGTATTTAAAGTAAATTAGTGAATCTCAAGAGAGACTGCATAAAAAATTCCAAGTAGCTATAGCACATGCAATAAAGATTCATCATGAGGGGCTGAAAGGACTAAGAAAACTACATAATTACAGAGTATCATTTACCATTCATAGCCAAAACTACGACATAAAGGCAATAGTATTTCAGGGCTCTTGGAGCTTCACCATCACTCCATTTTTGACCATACAACAATCTAATCGCAGAGTAAGAATAACTGGGACCAAATGCCATTACTACCAGCCCTGCATGAAATTTTTTTTAAAACAATAACATCTTCATCAATGAACCTATGGAATCAGTGATGCCAAAAACTAATTCAAAATCAGAATTTGCAACTGATATCTGACATGAAGAAAAAGAAAACAATAATCATTTTAGAATTAAAAAAAAAATCAAAAATAAAATAACATGGGGACAAATGCTATGATTAATATTACCTATTAGCAAAACAAGTTTTAGAGCATTTGTCAAACTTCTCCCCAATTTCTTGTTTTTCTGTGCATATTCTCCTGCCAAACAAATTAAAGACATCAATTCACCATGAACAATCTCAACACACATGATAACTAATCTCATTGTACCAAAGCAATTCAATATACTTCAAGATGCTCAAGGATCAAGAATGATTATAATAATGCAGACAGTATGACCAATAACCTAGGAGTGAGATAAACCTGAAGTAGACCTGGCAAATGTGGCATATGAACTTTCTTCAAATGGAAGAAACACAAGTCGCACCACTAAGCTCCCTGGAAAAAAAAAAAAAAAAAAAAAAAAAAAAAAAAAAAAAAAAAAAAGAGGATATCTATTTACTAAGGCAATTATGAGTTCAGACTTTAACATAAAAAATCTGAATGCTAAACATTATAAGTAGCCCTCTAACAAACAACACCACTATATCACAAAATCTAGTATACATAGTTAAAAGATAATTGGGTTATACCTAATTTATCAACAAGCCCATAAACTGCTTGATTGTAAGGTGTATCCAACCATACAAGAACCATCTTTTCTCCTTCTTGGAGAAGCAACTTACGAAAGGATTGAAAGGTAAAAAGAGTACACATTTTTGAAAGATCCTTATCATAGCCCATTACACTGTACAAGACATGTAACTCATTAAACAGTAACGAAGAAAAGCAATAGGAAAAATCTCCCCATCTTAAAAATTGAAAGATATACATAACATACTCATGTGAGATAATAGATGGATACCTAAAAGGGAAAAGATCCGAAACTTTAAATACATGGAAAAGAAGAAAATAGCCCCAGTAACCAATGAAAATACAAGCTCCATATGCAGTTTGTGACAAAGCAAAAACAATTGCTTTCTCCTGCAAGTGGATAAAAGAGAACTGGTGATTTTAGTTTCCTGTCCCTCGGAAAGGACATAAGCATACATGGAATAGTGCATTAACATCATATAGATGATTCCAACAGTTATTACCATATCAGGTAGCTTTACAATGAGCATGTATGTTGTAACACAACGTGAAAGTGTAGCAGCAGCTTCTAAAATCAGTCGCAACTTTAGGAGAAGCAAATTCTGAGATAAGATGTACAAAGGCTCCGCTAGTAGCTCCACTATACAGGCAAATCCTACATATGAACCATTTTCAAGTAACCATAATAAATAGATAGTAAAAGGAATCTAATTAGATGATCATTTTATCAAACAAATTAAACCTAAAATTGATTACCAGGGGAAATAGAAAGCTGTACTGCACAATGTTTATACAATTCATGAGTTAATATTCACCATACCATTTATCCAAATGGCCTGTGCATACGGACTAGAATAGCTTAGGTCCTGCCACCATATGACAAACAGGCATCCAATAAGTGTGATAATTAGCCCTAAGGGGAAACTGATCCAGGCTACTTTCAAAAGTTTTGCTGCATTTTCTCTCATTGAAGATCCATCACTGCAAGATAAAAATCTCATAATCGCAATACCAAGACATATACTCAATTAAAAGGCAAAAGTGGTTATATCATGAAGTATTACTGAAAATAATAATAATAATAATAATAATAATAATAATAATAATAATAATAATAATAATAACAATAACAATAACAATAACAATAATAATAATAATAATAATAATAATAATATATTTTATAATTAATAATAACCAAAAACGATAATAAAAATAATAAAAAATAAAAAAAGTGGCATTTTGAAAGTACCAACTAATATCTGCCCTCATGCATGCCCTTCTGAAACCTTCACGGCTGAGGAACAGGACACAGGTGATGAACAGGTGAAATTGTATGGCATACAGCTGCATGATACATACCAAAAAATTTTCATATTGGCAATTAACTATGGAACTTCTAGACAGAATACTTACAGCAAACTTCTAATAAAGTGATCGAAAGCCAAGTGAAGCATAAACATGGAACTCATCTATGCTACATAAACCAATAGCCAAGGAGCCGGCAACAGTTGGAATAAACAAAATTTAAAAATTTTAAACAAAAAAATGTGAATTAATTGAAGCAACAAAGAAATAATGCAAAAAAGGAAGCGGGTGATCCGAATATTACCGCGTAATCTTCTTCACTGAGGTGTCGGACTATCCAGGAGTTGAATATGAATGGTATACCTCTCGCCAAAAACTGCGTAGCTGCATCCACGTGTACATACATTACTATGCAGTTATTGAATTGAAATTAGAAAATGGATATATAAAGAGAAAAAACTACAGACCAAGCAAGTATTTGAACGTTCTAGGTAAATTTGCAGAACGGTCTCCATCTCCGACCGGCTGAGATCCCTCTGTATCCAACGAAGATGCCGATTTCGACATCCCTAGACTATGGACTTCTTTGATTATCCGGATTGGTTGATTTCGAAATGGAGTGCCGCAGTGATCATCAGAGTGCAACAGCACAAGGTAAAATTAGGGTTTTGAGGTCACTTAATAAGTAGACCAACTCATAGTCCATCAACCCAATTTCCCTGACCCGACCGGATTAACCGGGGTCACCTTCGAAAGGCGGCTATCGATGACGACTGCCGGACGGATTACGGAAGGCCGGCAAAGCTGGATAATATGGACTAATGGACCGAAATCTCAATGGCGGCTTAAGGTGAGAATTGAAATCGAGACGGAGCGGAGCTTGGACGCCGCGGGAGAAGACGTGGTTGGAAGTTGAAGATGGAAGAGATCAGCGGAAAAATTTCAGCAGCGACGTCGATACCGAGGCTTGACAGACGACCCCGTAATACGGAGTAACAAATAGACGCCTGAAATTCGTTCACTGTTCAATGGCCGGAGCCCGGAGCCCCGGAGTAGCGCCGTTCAACAAAGAGTGTGGCAATGTAAGAATAAGGGTATGTTTTGGAAACTCGCGAAATTATTTTATGGGTTTTTTATGTTTGGTAGAATATGAAAAATCTTAGTCAAAAGGAAAATGATTTTTTGGTCAACAGAAAATGAGGTTTTTTTTTTTGTCAATTAATTAAAATCACACATTGATAATTGATGAAACGATACAACAAAGATGATAAATTATACCTATTATTATTGTTTTTTGGGAGAAAAAGGATTTGATTTTATTTTTGAAGGTGCATTGCGTCATGACACTAAATTGAAGTGAAGACACTAGAGGATTAAATCAAATTAAAAATTCATTTATAGCGAAAGTGACAACAAGATGAAACATTGATCATGCCAATTACTAGGTTTTTGTGTTGCAAAAATTATGCTTAGGGTACTATCTAGCGAGAATGTTTCTCTCTAAAATTAATATTGCACCAATTAATCCAACATTTATGTCACATGTCATAGTTATGCATTATTAAAATATTTACTCTTATGCAAAAAGTTGATAATTTGCATTAATATATGCCATAATACCGAATGAATGAATGATACTTTAATAAATTTTGAAACACTAACTTAAAAATACACATTGGCATCATATTATTCGCGCAATACCCGTGTGGTAACTAGTTGACAATTGGTATACCATGGACCATTGTTCACATTGCATTGTTAACCATGATACAAACATTTTGTACTTTAGATACAGGTATATAAACTATAAACTGTACGTACAGAATGTGTCAACAATAGATACATAATTTGACTTGATAATTGCTGACACATATAATATGATAACTACGGGTACAAGAACTATCAACTGCAAGTACAGAATGTATCAACTACAGCTACATAATCTGAAAGGTTATTGTTGGATCATGGTCTACAATGCAATTATGTCCTGGAAACGTGTTCACCATGAATGGTGAACACGGGTCCAAACGGCGCCATTTTTACGTAAAATAAAAATAAAAATTCGCTAATGTGGTGTTAACGGCGCGCGTTTAATCAGATTATGAATTTTCTGTTATGAGATTATGAATGTACTGTAAATTCATAATCTCATAACAGAAAATTCATAATTTATGAATGTTGAAGAAGCTTGCGCTACAGAGGAGCAGCCATGGTTTCGGACGGGAATGTGTAGACATGGTTCCAAAGTGAATGTGCAAGCATGGATTCATAATTTATGAATGTCCGAAATCATTGCTCACCTCAAATTAAGGTGAAACCGTGAAATATGAAAATAAGAAAGAAAAGTCACGCGATTAATTAAGAAAAAAAAAAAAGATAACCGGTGCACTAACACCATTGGGACCGTGTTCACCATTCATGGTGAACACAGTTCCATGGCATAACGATTGGCAAGGTATACATTGGTCCATGGTATAATTCGCCACTAGTTGATACTAGTGTTACAATTCCTGTCAATAGATGATGATAATAAATAATTCAAAATATATAGTTACAATAGATATTGTTATAATGATAGTAAAAATTAACTTATAATTTTTTTAGAAGTTTTCATGCATTGATAAAATTCTTATGTGTAAACTTGTTCAATTGGAGTCAGTGGGATGTCAACATATATTGTCAATTCGTTAGGAAATGGTCATACCGTTTTAGAGTCCAGGTGTAATTGTATTTATGATCAACAACTTTGTAGTTAGGTCGTGCAGGGCTGACAATGATGTAAGAACAATTTTGTCTGATAAAAAAAATAATAGCATAATATTTGTAAAGTAATGTACAATTGTACCATTATAAAAAATACATACAAAAAATATTAATACCATAACAATATAAATCATACCAATAATGCAAAAATATAATTGAAATATTAAGTTTTGTTTTGGTCTAAATAAGCATAAGAAGATTAATTAAACGGAAAAAAACCTTAACATAAATGTGTTTTTTTTTTTTTTTTAATGCATAAAAATCAAATGATTTTTAAAGTTATTGATTTATAATCGTTGATACTTAACTTTGAATGATATGTATTTAGCCGGATTAATTATTTGAACAAAGTTTATGTTAAATTTTATATTATATATATTTTTAAATATATTTTAACATATATTTGTATTATATGTTTAACAATTATGCCAACTCTAATTATGATGGAGTTCGAACTTAAGACTTTTCGTATAGAAATTAATGATTAATGAGTAAGTTAAAAATAATAAATAATTAACAAAATATTCAGTTACTAAAGTTTATACTAACGGTACCCAGGTTGGACTTCCATTTGGAAGGTTGTGAGTTCGAGTTGGAAGTTGAGAAACCACCAACTTTCTTTAATATTGTTTGGCCAAGTTTGGGACTAAAGATGGCCAAACCACCAAACTCGAGGGACATTGGCTGGTATTAACTCTTTTCGTATAAGTCAAATAACAATATTACCCTCCATTTTGACGGCTAAGACGGGAGGAAGTAACGGAATGACGCTAGAAGGTAACTTTTCACAACTCGGAGGATGACGGATGGTAATTACGGAAGTTAGGAACCATTGATGGCGATGCCACCAAACTCGAGGGACCATAGGTGGTATTTACTCATTTTAATTAGTATGAATTTGTTAGTTATTTAAAAAAATATAAATATTGAACATATGTTTTTGTGCATCACACATAGAAAAGACTAATTGTATATTATATGAGTGATATACTTTAAAAAAAAAAAAAAACTAAATAAACACGCTATTAGAACAAAATTTTAGTGCTTGTATAGACAACTCAACAATTTGTTACAAGAGACAAGTGATCGAGTCTCTAATTGAGTCATTTTGATTTATCTTTTCAAAGTTTTGCAAGGGCTGTCACAAGAATAAAACTTTGGTTGGAAATGCGCGGGAAAACAGCGACACGATTCTTTAGGTAGAGGATGGTAATTTCGCGCGGCCCAATGAGAACTTAACACGTGTTAAGGGTACAAAGTGCCGCCGATAAAGTCGATCACTCCATTCCAGTGTTTTACCGCCGTTACTCCGCTCTCGTTTTCTGTAATCTGTTCTATCTGAAGAGGCACCCATCGTAATCATAAGAAGAAGGTTTGTTGCAAGCCGAATCTATGGCGAATCCTAGGGTTTTTGGCAACCCAAAACCAAATCAAGCTGGTATCATTTCCAAAATCCGAGTCGAAAATTTTATGTGCCATAACAATCTCGAAATTGACTTCGGAGATTCGGTAAATTTTATCACAGGCCAAAATGGAAGTAAGCTCTCTCGTCTCGTTGCTCTCTCTCGTTCTAAGTAGTTGTGTCTTTCCTTTACCGCTGTTCAATGTTTTCTGTTTAGTAAGTAGAGAGTAGATGCCGGGAAAAGGGTAAGTTTTTCGGGGACGAAGCTGAACTGGCAATTGCTACTCTAACATTTTGTCGCCCTTAGGAATTAGTTGTGAGTTTATTTTATCTAGGGTTAATTCTTACCAATTCCATCTGAAATATGTCAATTTATTGTTCTTGGTATTGATTGATATTTGAATGCCTTAGGTGGTAAAAGTGCAATCCTCACTGCCTTGTGTTTGGCGTTTGGAAGCCGTGCTAGAGGCACGCAAAGGGCAAATACAATGAAGGACTTCATAAAGACAGGCTGCAGGTTTGTTGTTATCTGGTTTCTCTTCTATAGCAGTACACGATTGATAAAATATATGAAAGTAATTCTCTATCATCATTTTATTAGGGTGGCCTCCCCGAGCTTTTTTTTTTTTTTTTTTTTTTTTTGCCCCCCTCGAAACAAGCTTTCTAACTCCAATTGCGTTTCTGTTGCTTATTATCTCTCCTTTCAAGGGTTCAGGCTTTAGAGTGGGGTTTGGGAGTGTGATGTAACATTTTTATTCTTTGAATGTGTGGCACTTTATTGGATCCGTTAGACTGCTGAACTGCTGGACCGTGGTGGTGATCAGGCAATTCCAAATGCCTGAATTACAGTGTGAACTAAGGAGTCTATCTTTCTGTAGTAATGTAGTATAGATATTGATGTCCAAAAGGTCAACTACATACTTTGTACTTATGAATAAGATAAACCATGATTTTCATACATGTGGGGAAGTGGATTGTATAGGAGTGGTAATGGGAGGAAGGAAGACGAACTGTACAGCAATAGAGGTGTGCATTCTTCATTTCATCTAAGGGTCCGTTTGGAAAGCAGGAAAATGACTTCTAGAAAATGAGTCATTTTTCGAAAAACATTTTCCTTTCCAGTGTTTGGTGTACAACAGAAAACTTTCTTTTTGTGTTTGGTTCATTTTCCAGAAAATGAGCAAAATTGTATACCTTAACATAATGCAAAGAAATATTTATCTTTTTAAATCTTTAACCTACAATAGATGTGTTCATGTATAAACCAAAAAAAAAAAAAACATTAAAAAAAAATTAAATAACATCAACTGGTTTCCTTGCCGGAATCCGGCAAGGAAACCAATCGCTGGTTTCCGACTTGGAAATCCAGAATATGTTTTCCATGTCGGAAATTCCGACATGGAAATCCAAAACTTGGGTTTCCAAGTCACACGACTTGGAAACCCAGATTTTGGATTTCCTTGTCGCCGACTTGGATTTCCAATTCCTGGATTTCCAAGTCGGAAACCAATTTGTTCCGACTTGGAATCCGGAATCTGCGTTTCCAAGTCTAGGTGTTTGCTAGTCGGAAACCATTTTCCGATGTCGAGAAGCCATGAAGCGATGTCCAGAAGCGAAGAGGCGAAGAAGTGATGTCGAGAAGCGAAGAAGCGAAGAAGCGGAGAAGAAGGTTGAAGCGGAAAATGACTTCCCCTAAAAAAAAGGGGAAGTCATTTTCCATAAAAATGACTCTATTTTCCATTGACCCAACTTCATTTTCCATTGACTTTAATGTTTTCCTACTTACCAAACACTCAAAACCCGAGAAATCATTTTCCGGTTTTCCAAACACACCCTAAGGGTCCGTTTGGAAAGCTGGAAAATGACTTCTCTCATTTTCCAGAAAACATTTTCCTTTCCGGTGTTTGGTTGCATTCTGGAAAACTATCTTGGTGTGTTTGGTTCATTTTCTGGAAAATGAGTAATTGTATAAATAAACATTTTAATTATTTTATTTAGAATATAAAAATATTTATAATAATAATAAACTAATTTTAAATATAATCCTACAATTAAAAAAGAAGAAGAAGAAGAAAGGGAATCGTTATTGGTTTCTGCACCGGAAACCAAACAGCGTGGAAACCAGATGGGTTGTTTCAGCGGCCGGAAATATGGGGTTTCAGTCTTGTTTCCGGCGGACCAAAGTGCTAAAAGGTTGTGCTGAAGATGACGAAGTTCCCGCTGAAGATGAAGACTGAGATGTTGAAGCTCGCTACTCACTGGAAAATGACTTCCCCTAAAAAAATGGGGAAGTTGTTTTGCAAAAAATTAAGCTCATTTTCCTTTGACCAAGCCTTATTTTCTGTTGTCTCAAGTTTTCCTTTGCTTACCAAACACAGGAAACCCGGAAAATGTTTTCCGGAAATCATTTTCCGGGGTTCCAAACACACCCTAATATTATTTATGAACTTAAATGAGGACATGGGACAATACTTAACATTAGGGGGTGTTTGGTTTGCATATGTTACTAACATAGGTAATGTGGTATTGCTGTATTGGAATATTACATACTGGGGTGTTTGGTTTGTGCTATCTTATATTCCGCAAGAATGTCACTTTACTGCTATATCAGATTTTTGTATTACTAGGAATCTGACATTCCTTGACCTAAGTGTAATGACACTGCAAAAGTAGCTTTCCCTTGTATACTTAAAAGTAACAGTGTATTGTTAACACTTAATTTTTAATTCTATCCATTTACTGCTTGTTTGACCTAGCTTATTTGTTAGGCATATCTACTTCAAAGATTGATAAGCTAAGCCAAGCACTAACTTTCTAAAAATTTAAATTAGCTTTTTGGAGTAGATGAGCTGAATTACAATTATCTACATGTAACCCTGAATTTAGGCTTTTGGTAAAGGCTCTTTTCTTAAAAGAGGTTTGATCAAACTCTTAAGTTCTCATTTTTGTTCTGATGTATTCCAATTATTTACTGTCAATGTATAAAACCACAGCATTGTTAAATTAATAAATGTCCTTTTTTCTAATTTTGTGCTATCATATTAATGAATCGAGTTTCAAAATTTAATCATCCACACAATATAGGTATTAACAAGAAAGGCTTTCAATGTGCATTTAGCCAAGCAAAATAAAAACTTGTTTAACAAGTTCATTATAAAAAGGATTTATCTAAATTGATCTATTTAAAGAAGTTACAGTTGGGCCAAATACGCCCTGTGTCATACCAAGCTTATTGCGTTCTTTTAATTGTAAGATACATTAATCCCATGAAAACTTTTGCAGCTATGCTCTTGTACATGTAGAGATAAAGAACCAAGGGGAGGATTCTTTCAAGCCTGAAACATATGGTCGGACCATAATAGTAGAGCGCAGGATATCAGAATCTGCCAGTTCTATCATTTTAAAGAACCACCAAGGTTTCTTGTATTATTACTTTATAACTGGTTCTCACTGGATTGAAATTAAGGATTTTGTTCTTTGTAATTTTATAACTTTATATGAGCATTAATCTAGAAGGTATTGTACCCAAGTAGAAATATCCAGTTTGATCTGCTTAATATGAAGATTCATAGGATGATAGGAATGCTTTTATAATTTCTATCCTGTTTCTTAAAGATGCTCTTTTTGTGTACCAATTTGCTAGCTCCTCTTCATTCCTATTGGAGCTCGGATCATGCTATATTCCTGAAACACATGCTAAGTCTAGGATTATTATATATTTGAGCTTGATATTCAATCTACACGCAAACAATACATTTGGGTATAATTATTTTTAATTTTTATTTCTTAAATTATGTAATACCGTTGAGTGTAGTTAAACTGTTAACTACTTGACTTTTATTTTCTTCTATCTCCTTTGTCCTCCTATGTTGTAATGACCAAATCTTCTTACATTTGGCATTCTTTCTGGTATCCTTTTCCACTCTCATCTCTTTGTGTATCATTCATCAGCAAGAAAGGTGCCTTATTGCCCCTTCTGTAGAAGATTATTAATTCAAACTTTCCAATGTGGTTTTGAAAATTAACATCCTAGTTGGGAGTTCTAATTCTGCTACATTGCTGAAGCATATACTAATTTTAAGATTGTTTTGGTAAACATTGATATTCTTGTCTGTGCAACCAATACCTTCAAGTATACTCATTTTCTGAGCTATTATTTTGATCTATTTTTCTCTCTATTATAATACACAATTTCTTACCTATGATATTCATTTCTGTTTCTGTTTTCCCATCTCCCCTCTATGTATCACTCTCCAGGCAAAAAGGTGGCTACTCGAAGAGAGGATCTCCATGAACTAGTGGAGCACTTTAATGTGAGAATGGGCCTTATACATGCCATGTGGAGTATTCTTTGTTGATTAAAGGCCTTGATCATTTGTTTGTTTTGTAGATTGATGTTGAAAATCCATGTGTTATAATGAGTCAAGACAAAAGTCGAGAATTCTTGCATTCGGGAAATGATAGAGACAAGTTCAAGGTAGGCTACTTAAGTTGCATTGCCCATTAGTATTTACTTTTGTTTGTTTGTTTGTTTGTTTTTTGCTTTTCTGTTGTGTTTTTGTTTGTTTTGTTATATATATATATATATATATATATATATATATATATATATATATATATATGATAATAATAATAATAATAATAATAACAATTTTTATCTTTCAATTCATTTTTGTGTGAAAAGTATTTATAATTTGTGTTCTTTGCTCAGTGAAATTTGTCTAACCTTGATTTAGTTACTTAGTTACTAATAACTAATTAGGATAGCATAGAGGCAAATTATGAGAATTGCATACTTGCTAATATTATCTTATGCAGTTCTTTTTCAAGGCAACACTTCTTCAGCAAGTGGAGGATCTTCTGAAGGGTATTGAAGGTCACCTGTGTAATGCAGATAGTCTGATTGATGAACTAGAGAAGTCCATTAGCCCAATAGTTAAGGAAATTGAGGAGCTGAAGATCAAGATAAAAAGTGTGGAACAAATAGAAGAGATATCTCATCAGTTGGAGCTGCTAAAAAAGAAACTAGCTTGGTCGTGGGTCTATAATGTAGACACTCAACTGCGGGAAAAAAGTGAGTTGATTGTGAAACTAAATGGACGTATTCCTATGTGTCAGTCCCGAATAGATCAGTGGATGGTAAGTGCTGCATTTATGGTTTTAATAAAGAAGGTTGCTCAGGAGTAGTTATGCATATTGGTAACTGCTGATTTATTATACCCATCTCTCATCTACACTTGTTTTTTCTTGTTAGAGTATGGCATATTCATACTTTGGCAATTAATAGTTAATTTGTTCCCTTACTCCTACATCATTCCCATGGGTTTCATGTGGAGTTAATTAAGTAAATCCTCAGGTTGATGATTTAGCTTTCTCTGATGGGTCTGTATTAAAGTATTATGTTCGCGTGTGATGATCAACATTGTATAAAAAATGTAATGGATCTGGTGGGACTATGAACTGTGACTGTGACACAACTAATAGGAAGTAAGGTGGTAGAAACTCTTTTGCTTTTAATTCTTACAAAGTAGGATGCCAATTTTGGTTAGGATTTTTGCTTGTCTTCTTTTGTGGGTTACTTGTCCTTTCCTTGAGGGACAGTCCATCTATAATGGACAGTCCATCTATAATGGAAAGTTGGAAACAATTAAGTGGATGCTGTTGTGGCATGGCTGGACTGTGGGGTGGCTTGGAGTCTTGGACTGGTGGCCCTGGTGCAACATTGATTGTTTGCCCCCAATGTGATTAAGGTGGATCTATGCATTTTTTATGTAGAGAGGATAACAATGTTTTTTGGTTGTGGACAGTGGTGTTTATAGGGAGTGAATTGATTGTTTAAAAAGGATGCACCCATCATATGGGTGAGGCCATTCAAGAAGAGTTTTATTTTATCCATTTTAATTTTTTTTCCTGCTTGGTTGTGCGTGGTAATACCAGCCATCTGATGCTTATAGTATGCCGAGGCTTAGGTTCCAATGTAGGGGTGGTGCTAATGATTCTCTTTCATTTTGTGTTTTCAATGTTTGCTTTGACCTAGTATGTAGCGTTGATGAATAACAAAATTGTATAGTATTGCATTCGATTTCTATTTCCTAAAATATTTTATATTTAGCATGTGTTAATATGGTACCCTATATTTGTGTTATATTTTGCTTTGCAAAATGTGCTCCATCAACCTTTGGTCTGATATCCTTGCTTTTCTCGTATCATTTTTTGATCATATCATAGTATTGTACATATAATCAACAAACATCAAGAAATATATCATATTAATGGGCAGAGAAGGATTGAGGAATTGAGTGATCGCATAGCCAAGAAAAATGCACAAGTTGCTGTTTTAATGGAGAATACATCAAAATTCATGATCGAGAAGGATGATTTGAAGCAAAGAATTTCTTTGGTATGGTGGTTGCTTTACATTTTCCATTTGTGATTTTGATGAAAATGATTTACTTCTGTTGTGTAATAGTAAGGTCTGGTTTGGCTTGTGACCAAGTGTGCTGTTGTTGACAGTTATGTCAAGAGTCCAACCTGGAAGCCATTTTGACATTCCCATTCTGTACTACCTGCATAATAGCATTTGATAGAATAGAATGTTCCATATATTAATGAAGAGCTTAATCTATTAGAGGGTGGATATATTATATATTTTATTCAGTTTCCTTAATGGAAAGAATTGTTTCCTGCATGCATACTGATACTGTTTCTTTGAACTGCTCTTGATTGTTCTATATGCTAACAAAACCATGATAATGTGATGTGTGATGTGTGGATTTTATTTCTTAGGCTACAAAAGATAAACTTGGCGTAGAAGAAGAACATGGACGTAAAGCCAATTACATTCAGACATTAGAAAAACGACGGAAGTTGCTGGACAGACAAATTCATGAAACTCAAGAGCAACATATTAGAAATACTCAGGTTTCTTTACCTCTTTGAATTAATGTCTTTTAGTTTTTTAATCTTCGGTTTTCTTAGAAAATGACAAGTTGGATTTCTTGTTTTACATCTTGTGAACTAATTAGTCTTAGAGAAACTTGAAGTATCATAATCTTACAATTATCACAAGTTCTGGAAAGAAAGACATGAACGCAGACTCTCTTATGTGCCTCTCATAGCTTGTAAATAGTAGGTACTTGTAATCAAGCTTGTAAAGAAGCAGTGAAATACTGTTTTTATTAAGTTCATTAATCAAGTTACATTAAGCTACTACATATATAGTCATACAAGGAAGACACGGATAAAAGCTAAATAAATGTTAGGCTACTCTAGGCAATTACTCTTGATGGAGGCCATGCTGCTATGGCAATTAGGGCTGCTCAAGACTATAGTATACAAGATTTAGGATAAGGCAAGGCATATATCTCAACACTCCTCTCAAGTTGGAGTATATAAATCAAATGTTCCAAGCTTGCTACAAATGTATTCAATCGTAGGTCCAAAAAGAGATTGATTGAGAACATTAACAAGTTGATCATTTGATTTAACGAAAGGTGTAAATATGTCTCCTGGATGCAACCTTTTCTCATATAATGTGGCAATCAACCGCAATATGTTTGGTTCTTTTGTGGGAGATAGGATTAATGCAATATGCAAAGTTGCTTGATTATCACAAATTAACTTCATAGAACAAAGTTGGCAGAAATTGAGTTTTGTGAGACGTTAACCCAAATTAGCTCACATATTCCAAGTGTCATTACTCGGTAATCTGTTTTTGCAGTTGAATAGAGTTATCAAAACTGATTTTGCCTACTGGGCCAACCTGCCTCGCCCCCTATATAGGTAGGGCCGGGTTTTATTTTCGCAGCCTACAAAAAGAGGGGTCAAAGATTGAAATGGGAAACAATTAGAAATTGATGACAAAAATGGGAAACTTTTGAAAAGTGGACAACATTAGGAAAAACTCATTTGGGACATGCGTTTCTTGTCAGAAATGCAAGTCCATATGCGTTTTGAACTAATTTTTTTTCCTTGAAATTAACAAAAGATGCAAGTGGTACTTGTGTATGAGGTATTATACAAGAGACGCAAGTGCCACTTGTGTCTCTGGCCCTTATACACCATATTGGTGAAATGCAAGTGGAAACTGTGTTTCTCGTATTGTACGAGAAATGCTGTTTCCACTTGCTCCTCTCACCCCCGGCGGCCTAATACTGCCGGTCAGTAGAGACGCAAGGAAGACACAAATAAAAGCTAAATAAATGTTAGGCTACTCAAGGTAACTACGCTTGATGGAGGCCATGCTGCTATGCTCCTAAGGGCATGCTGCTATGGAAATTAGGGCTGCTCAGGACTGTAGTATACAAGATTTAGGAAAAGGCAAGACATATACCTTAACACTCCCCTCAAGTTGGAGCATATTAATCCAAATGTATTCAATCCTAGGTTCAAAAAGAGATTTAGTGAGAACATTAACAAGTTGATCATTTGATTTAACGGATGGTGTAAAGATGTTTCCAGGATGCAACCTTTTCTCATATAATGTGGCAATCAACCGCAATATGTTTGATTCTTTTGTGGGAGATAGGATTGATGCAATATGAAAAGTTGCTTGATTATCACAAATTAACGTCATAGAACAAAGTTGGTAGAAATTGAGTTTTTGAGAGACCTTAACCTAAATTAGCTCACATATTCCAAGTGTCATTACTCGGTATTCTGTTTTTGCACTTGAATAGAATTGTCAAAATTGGTTTGCCTACCGGGCCAACCTTTCATGCCCCCTATATAGGGAGGGGCCGTTTTTTTTTTTTTTTTTTTGCAGCCCACAAAAAGAGTGGGCCTCAGATACCCGCCCATAAAATAAAATATTATTTAAATTTTTTTTAGTTGTATGCAATGGATATTTGACTAGTAAAAGTCTCGAAGGATTTAAGTTGAATGATGGTAGCAATGAAATTATAATATTATATATTGGAATATTAGATTAGATTAGTATATTAGAATATTATTATTGGTTAGAGAATAGGACTTAGAAAGTTAGAATGCATCCAACTATCTACTAAAAAAAATTGTTGGGTTGGCTTGGCCTGCCTAGCCTGCAGACGTTGAAGGGGGTGGGACTGGCTAGCCAACTCTAGAACCTTTCAAGTAGTGTGCCTCAGAGGCTTGCCTTGCCCTTGCGACCTGCATTGACAACTCTACACTTGAGCATGCAACCACATTGTGTTTCTTAATTTTCCAAAAAACAAGATTACCTTCAAATAGAATACATGTCCGGATATTGATGAGTTGATCTCCTATCCCAAGGGCATACATCCCTAAATGCATTTGTATAACCAACAATTTTAGTACGTCAATAATCCCTATAATGCAACCCTATATACTTGGGAGGTCTTTTCACATATCTTAAGATTTTGATGGTTGCATCCCAATGACTCTGACATGGCTCTTGCATAAATTGACTAACTACACAAGCAACAAAAGGGATATCTAGATAGGTGATAGTTAAGTATAAAAGTTTGCCAACTAATCATTAGTATCTACTTGGATCCGATAATGACTCCCCCTATCTTGTAAGAAGTTTAACATTTGGATCCATGGGTGTTAACTGGCGGTCTAGCTTGCTATTTGTCATACTTGTTTCTTCAAGAATGTCCAAAGCATATTTTCGTTGGGACACAAGTTACATTGTTTGGATTGAGTAACCTCAAAACCAAGAAAATAATTCAATTTTTTGAAATCTTTTGTATAAAAACATTCGATTGGTTTCGTCTATATCGTCCCCTTTGATAATAATGTCATCAACATAAATCACAATATATATGATTTTTCTAGTTAGACGTTTATAAAAGATAGAATATCAACCTTGCTTTGAAATTTGAATCATGGCAAATAGTTGAACACTATCACTAAACCTCCCAAACCAAACATGGGACATTGATTCAACCCATAGTGAGAGAGCATTTGAAGCAACATACTAGATTAGTTTTTGTCTGGGCCACAAGACTGGGGGGTTGCTCCATGTACACTTTTTCTTGTTTGGGGTATTGATCCGCCTATTCATTCTACTAGGATATGAGGCTCTTGAGTGTGCCCTAGTTGACATGATTCACATTCTATAGATTTTAGATTTGACAAACTAGGAACAAGTTGGCATAGTTTATTGAGGCTAGGATGTCCTAAATGACAATGATCAAGAAAAGGTAAAACATTATCCATGCAAGTTGCATTGGCATCATCAGTGGAGCATAAGAGATTGTGAAGTCCTCATTATTCATATCATGTACCAATCATCTCCCTCTTTTGTCGGTCCTGAACAACCACCGAATCAAAAGAAAAGGTAACAAAATAGTTATGAGTGTGAGTAAGCTGATGGGTTGAAATCAAGTTAAAAGGGCGACTAGGAATATATAAGAATAAAGATAAAGAAAAAGAATGAAGAGTGATTTTTTTTTTATTTCCTTTAGCCTTTCCTTTTGATCCATCACCAATGGTAACATATGGAAGAGAAATTGAAAAGTCGGACTATGAAGCCAAAGTAGCGTGAGAAGTGTTGGGAGAAATGTAGATTGAGTTACATTAACCATAGTTGGTTTTCCATGCATTTTCCAACAAACCTCAAAGGGGTGTGTCCTTGTTTGTCACAAAAATCATAGAAACAAGATGATGAATTTTGTTCTCCACCTTGGTTACTTCCTCACCCTCTCTTCCCCTATTGTTACCATGATAACTTTGTGAAGTGAGAGTAGTGTTTTCAACTATGGTGGTGGATGATGTGTTCTGTTAGTAAACATAAGAGACTTGGAAAAGTATCTTAAAACATTTCTTTGGTATTTGGAACAGTACCATCACACGTATTCTGTTACGGGCTTGCTCAAACTTTGGTTCGGGTTTAGCAAGTTCGTTGGGTAAGTTGTTCTGCTAGTGATCTTCCAATAGGCATGAGTCTACTGAGTTCATTATAAGTCCTTGGATTTTCCCTAGAAATTTCTCCATCAACATCTCTGACTTCTTGATATTTAATATTACACAATTACACAATAAAATAATAGCGGCAGATATCATTTGTATAAAGGGACTGAGCTTGTTTCCACATAGAAAAACAAGTCTTGAATGGCCGAAACATAGGAATCACATCAGAAACAAGTGATTGCTGTAGTAGATTGCATAGTTGGGCTTCAACTCTTTCCCAAACATTTCTTTCATGCTAGATTTCTTCTATATAGTAAGATGATCAACAATTTCTTGTCCCATAAACCATAGTTCCACTGCAAAGGTCTGATCTTGATAATTTTGGGACCCTATTAGTTTCTCATTGGCGATGACTAAGTTCCTTGAGAGATTTGGAATAGACTTTAGGCTGGGCAGGAACATTCTCAACAGTGTTTAAAACTTCATCTTCGGTCATTGTTATTAGAAAAATATGAAAAAAATCATGGTGGGTCGCGGACAAGAGACGAGTTGATTTGGAGAATTTGGCCGGAGAAAGTAGCCGTAGAAGATCTCACTCGCCAATGCATGGCTTCAGAGGTTTGTCAGCGTGCTGGTGCATGCGGGGACTGTTGCCGAAATAAGATGGGCAGAGTCTCCTGCCCTCCTTTAGAAGGTTTATTGGACCAATTTAGTGAAGAGGGCTCCCAGCTGTGCACAACTGAGATAATGGTAGAATAATGAACAATGTTTGTCCTGTTCATCTATAGAAAATTGAAGGAATTTCAGTCCCCAGAAGAAAAGAGGCTTTGATACCATGTGAAGAAGCAATGAAATATTGTTTTTATTCAGTTCACTAATCAAATTATACTAGGCTGCTACATATATGTCATACAAGGAAGACGCAGGGATAAAAGCTAAATAATTGCAAGGCTGCTCAAGGTGACTACTCCTAATGGAGGCCATGCTGCTATAGGGATTAGGCTGCTCTAGACTAGTGTGTACAAGATTTAGAAAAAGACAAGACATATACCTCAACAAAGTTATTAGGCAATATATCTAGTTTCATATCTTCTCTCTTTCCCTCCCATCATTCTACTACTTAACACATCAAGTTTCTGCCTCAGTGGTGGATGGTATTTTGGGTGAGCTTACTGCTTAGGTGAACAGTGACTGCACACCTTGCATTATTGGTTCTGATTTTCATCTTTACAAAAGTCAATTATCTTTGCGTGTCTTCTCCAGTATTCCAATTTGACCTGACATTTTTGCAGTGTACTTAAAATAAAATTGTTTGGTGTTCAAAATTTTCGAGTGAGACAGTTGCCCATCCATTAACCCCGGATGTCAAATTTTCTATATTATGTTTGTATCTTGCTGAAGAAGTGTTACTTTTGTTTTTTCTTCTGGTTGTTGGTTGCCTATGGCACTTTTGAAGGACCAGTTCTGCACCTTAGAATTCTTTTCAGTTCACTATTTATTCTTCAAAGATCAGATCTTCTATGCATGCTCCTGCTGTAAACTGTGCAATATTGAGCATATAATGCTATTAACTTTTCATGTGAGTTTACATAGGTGTGCTCGTGTAATCTGTATTTGAAGTATACAGATTTGTTGTACCGTTTTAAATTTGTTATGAGATCAGATTTCTTGTTTTATCTTGCCAATTGCTATGGTTAGTTGGAGACCATGGCAATAATGCAGGGCTCTCAGGGGTGGCTGGTCTAGTAGTGGTGGCAGTAGTAAATGAAATCTGATGATGATTTTTTGTTTTTTGTTTTTTTGTTTTTGTTTTTTTTGTCTTTTTGCAAATAATGTAAGTGAACTTGGAGATGATTGTTATAGGAGTAACTCTAGATGGTTGGGGTGTTTCCTTTAGTGTAGATGGTATTGTTTGAATCAGTCTTGGTGAAGACAGAGATGGTGAACCCGTGGACCTGGCTCTGATGTATTCTTTTTTTTTTTTTTTTTTTTTTTTTTTTTTTTTTTTTTACTTTGTTTTAGTTTCCTTTTTTGCTTTTCTGTTCTTAAATTTCCATATTGTCTTTTTTTTTTTTTTAATAAATAAAATTATTTTAATGGCAATTTGATATGCCGAAAAGTCTCTTAATGTAGTGTTGTAACATCAAAGATGAAATGGTCTTCATGTTTTTAGTCTTAATTTGTAGGCAGAAGAGCACGAGATGGAGGAAAGATTGAAGGAGTTACAAGAAGATGTGGACAATGCTTGTTTAATACTTCAAAGGTTAAAAGCGGTTTTGTAATACAAGGCTATGAATTTGCAGTTTGCAGTCTCACTCATGGCATACATACGAGAATTGTCAACCTGATGTAATGTATGCATATGGTCTTTGTAGATATCAATTAGTTTTAACATAATTCAATGGTTTGCAGATTGAGAGCTGAAGAGGATGCCCTATTAGTAAATATTGGAAAAACAAAGGATCAAGTGAATGCTATTATTGGTGAAGTATGGTCTTCTAACTGTTGTTGTCTATGGCTTATAGAATTTTTTGATTAGTTAATAAAAATTTTATCCATAAGAAAAAGCATATAAAGATTGCACCATGACGAACAAAGTCTACTTTCAAAAAGAAAAAGAAAAAGACAGCAGTTGTTTACAGTATGTGAACTTTTGATGAAAAAATGAACAAGTAAACACTTAATAAATGCAGCACGCCCAACCTTCAAAAATCAAATGATGAACACTATTTATAAATTGTGATGAACATTACTCAACTGTGATGAAAAGTAAGGTAGATGGGTCCATGATGTAATTTGTGGAATGCAATAATGGAGTAGTTTCTCTTTCATTTGTTTCTGTACATGTGTGTATTGTACGCCATTATATTGTGCAATAGGAATTTAATTTTATACTAATGTTCTTTGAATGACTTGAATATAGAACTCTCATGATAATGCACATATCATTTGTACTTTCCTGCTTGAATAAATGAATTTATACTTTACTTTTTAGATTCAGGAAAATGAAAAAGAGCTTTCTCGTATTCGTAGGCACATTGGTGAGCTTCAGCTTAATAGAACCAGCAAGGTAAAATTTACTTTTCAGCAAATTTCTTCTTCTTCTTTTTTTTTTTTTTTTTTTTTTTTTTTTTTTTTTTTTTTTTTTCGATAGTGAGAGGCAACTAAATTAGGAAACTATTATAAGGAGTTCAACTTGTCTACTGTGCCTTCTTTTAGTTTCCACTGTTAGAAAAACTATGATTGCAAGTTTATCATTTTCTGGCCAAATAGACCTTAGATTTCAGCGAGTGCCTAAAAATAGAATATGTGGTCCTAATTTTAGGTTGTGTTGAAGGTTACTTGGTATATGTAGAACACATAAACAGACTATGTACTGTGTATCTATTGAACTCTGATGAATAGGAAACTGTACAAGATAGATGTATATACATGCTAGCAGAAGAGTAAACCAACCTCTCAACCACTCATTTCAAATTCAAAATGAGTAGTTGAGAGCTATTCTCTCAACCTCCCTCAACACTCTCTAACACTCCCCCTCAAGTTGGAGCATAGATATTGACCGTTCCCAACTTGTTAGTTGTTACACATGTGCTCAACCCTGCTCCTACCAAGCCTTTTTGTAAACACATCCGCTAGTTGATCACCACTCTAAACATGCCCAACACAAACCAACCCTTGTTGTATCTTTTCTCGCACAAAATGACAATCTACCTCAATGTGCTTGGTCCGCTCATGTGTATAGCAGCTTGGTTATCACACCATAGCCTTACTGACACACTTACCCTTACACCAATTTCTTCTAGAATATTGTGTATCAACGTTATCTCAGAAGTCGCATGAGCCATAGCCCTGTACTCAGACTCTGCACTGGAGCGAGCCACAGCATTCTGCTTCTTACTCTTCCACGACACCAAATTGCCTCCTAAAAACACACAATATCCTGTTGTAGACCGAACCAGTCGGCATCCCAAAATGCTTAAACACCCATGTGCCCATTATTAACATACAAGATTCCTTTCCCCGGAGCCCTCAAAATACCATACAAAAAAAGCCTCAACACTAACCACACTATCAAGGCAACACCACTGCTACAATTTATGCTCGGAGAAGTTGCTGGAAAACTGCTCAAGCACTGGTGTGTGAAGGCTCGTCATGGATCCGTTGGCTGCTTGATTCTTCCTCCAGTGTCGCCCCAGCTTTCCGACCTTAGCCCAGTACCTCACACTCTAGGTTGGGCTCTGATACCATGTAGAACACGTAAACGAACTATGTACTGTGTATCTATTGAACTCTGATGAACAGGAAAATGTACAAGATTGGTATATATGCATGCTAGCGCCTAGCAGAAGAGTAAACCAAGCTCTCAACCACTCATTTCAAATTCAAAATGAGTAGTTGAGAGCTATTCTCTCCACCTCCCTCAACACTCTCTAACAATATATAAAGCAAATAATTTGTGGATAGTTTACCCTCACTTCAGTTAATTAGTTGGTTTTTTTTCCCCTTCGCTCAGGTTACAGCTTTTGGAGGGAATCGAGTGACTCATCTTTTGAAGGAGATTGAAAGAAATCATAAAAGGTTCAAGAGGCCCCCAATTGGTCCAATTGGTTCCCATGTGGTATGTGTAATGGAAAATACAAATGTGCATTTTCAACTTTGTTGCCGAATAAAATAATTTTGTTTTTATTGCTTTCTTAGATGCCTAAGATTAAGAACTTCTACGTAGTGTTGCATTTTATCTTTGATTCTTTTTCCATAGCAAAATGGGACCACTTCATCCCTTGAAGTGACCAGATTAATGTCTCATGGATCTGGTATGGCAAAGTGATGGTTTTTAGGAAATCACAGAAAAGTGAGTGGATTTCTCCCCTTAAGCAATGTACAAAGTGAGTGCTTTACTTATAGAGGATGAATTGAAGAGTCAAAGACCCATCACCCATCAATCATCTTTTTCTTCTTCAATTTATCAGTTATATGTCATTCCATTGCTTCCTCAATTCTTCCTAATCGTTGACCATACCTTTTTTTCTCTAGTTTTTTTTTTCCTCTCATTTTTCAGAGTGCTAATTGTCACTTGGCTGAGTTACACCAAGAGGCTCTTAGAACTCTCTGATAAAAAAAAATTGAAAGCTTTTCAATTCTCAAGGGGCTTAAATACTTAATAGTTATTTAGTTATTATATAATTAATTATATATAAAAACAATTCTAGAACTCTCCAAGGCTCCAACAATACATAAATTCTCTTGATTCAAAATTCTATAATTAGTTAATATATAATTATATGTTGTTATTTAGTGGATAGCTTATCCTATGATTTATCAATTGATGTTTATAAATTATAAATATGGAATTAATAATATGGATTATTAAGATAAATTCTTAATTAATAAACAAATTAAGGATTATAGATGATTAGGAATGATTCTTACTAAGAATATTAACATATAATTGATTTAATGATTCTCAAGTGACTTAACTTGTGAATTTTAATTTTTTTCTCCAGGGCTTTGCGCTTCCACTTTAAATCAAAGTATTGCCTCGTTGCTCTTAGTGCACTATTGCTTTTAAATTTTGTTGAAATTATACACCATCTGCAACCAACCACTGTTTAGGTTATATCTAGAGTAAGATGGTGAGGATTTCAAGTAGACTTGGTTCCTATTTGTCTTGCTATAGGTGAAAAAGTTTCAAGTGTCTTGGATGAGTTAAGAGGTGGCCCTGAATTATTGGGACATTCATTCATGGAATTTACTTTCATGCGGGAGATGATTTCTTCATTGGTATGCATATGGAAAAGATGATGATGGTTGAGGTATTGATGGTGGTAGTGGTGTTGATGTTTTGATAGTTGAGGTATTGATTGTTGAGGTGATGCGGTTACTTACCTATGATTATGGACTAAGACATGATGATGTAATGACTTAGAAAGGTAGGAACAAGAATTGCCTTATCATGGGAAACATTGGGTTTTGCCATGAGTTTGGATTTGATAGTGGGACTGGTAGAGTGGTAGGAAAGAATGGAGTGGACTCATAAAAAGTTACATCAAATGAGGTGTAGAAATGCTTTTAGTAAGGGTAGTAGCATCAAGAACCTTTTTGAAGATGTGAATACCCTACAAACACATTTGAGGGATTTGGATATAGATTAGGACAATACAAGTACACCCGAAAACTTGTAATGGTAATTCATTAGGTATCTTAGGCATTCGGTTTGTGGACTAACAGAGTAACAGGAATGGTGTATATGACAGCCCCCAAAATTTGCTTAGGAACATTATAATGGATAACTATAGTGCGAGCTGTTTCAACTAGGTGTCAATTATTCTGTTTAGCTACTCCATTTTGTTGAGGAGCACCTAAATAAGAAGATTCATGAAGAATCTCTTGCATGGACAAGGAGTTAGTAATGGGTGATGAAAAATACTCTATCACTGCGCAAGACCTTTATAGATACTCCAAATTGATTCTTGATTTCATCGTAGAACTTTTGGAGGATGTTCAACACTTCAACACTAGTGTGGACTAAAAAACACAAAAAACACTAGTGTGGACTAAAGCGGAAGGAGTGCTACCACATTTATGTAAAATACCATTGTAACATTATCCACTACATAAAAAATTAGATAAAATACATATTTTGCAAAAAAGAATATCATTAAATAAAAAAAAACTAGAATATGGGAGCTGTCTCTGCTTTTTTCCCTCCACCATTGCCAATGTACATGGGATGATGTGACCAAATACTCTAAATGTCATTGCATTTATTGAGGAATGATGGTGTTCAGACCTAATTTTAATCTGATCTTTTCCAACTTAGCATTAATCACGAATAAAGTTGTATAAAGTTTGATAACTTCTGAATTTAATTTGAAGCTTGTTTGGAGTCCAGATGTCAGATCTTTGCTGCTAATCCGATTTCTAATTTAGTAAATTGATGTAATGTTTATTAATGGTTACTTTGTTTTCTTCAATTTGTGCTTTATAGACCTTGGTTGATGGGGAGAAGTGGGGAGCTGCAGTAGAAAATGCAATTGGAAGGCTGCTAAATGCTTTTATTGTTACAGACCATAAAGACTCTCTTGTTCTAAGGGCATGTGCTAAGGATGCCAACTATGGCAACCTTCAGATTATCATATATGACTTTTCAAGACCAAGGTTGAGATCTGGTGTACTGTTTACAATGGGACTATCTATGTTATCAACATTTGGGGTTTAAATTCTGTGTGTGCTATTCCTCAAATGTTGACTTTACTTATTGTAGGTTAAATATTCCAAGCCACATGCTCCCTCAAACTGGTCATCCAACTACAATTTCCGTTTTACGCTCTCAAGAAGATACAGTAATGAATGTCCTAATTGATATGGTAAAGTTGCAAAAATTTATCCAAGTGATGTTTACTTTGAAGATGCTGCATTTTGGTGTGTTAGCTATTGCATGTTTATCTATGCTTTCATCCATTCTGAGAGGTAATCATATACAACAGTAGATTTGTCCATGTCCCACAAAGGTAGAACCCTTCCTCCATTGGTGAATCCAATTCATTAGCATTGGGGTCAGCTGACCCACTGAAATTATAAAATGTCGTCTATGTAAGTCTACAATCTTATATTCATTTTATATGTGTTATGCTGAGTATGAATTTGATTGAAAATATCAAATGATCCACTTAAAATGTAAAAATTCTATAAGTGGAGTCAAAGTTTTATACTAATCTTGGGCTGAATAAAAAATATTAGAATATCATCAGAAAATGAGAGTGATGGCTTAGTTGTAATAGGGAAAATAACATTTCTTTCAATTTTCAAAATTTCTTCAATATTAATTTCATATTAATAAAATTATACAGATTACATGTGTGTGTTTGAGTCCACTGAATTAAAATCTTAAAGTTGCTACCATCATCACCGGCTTACCCCCTGCCCAAAAAAGCCCTACCGGCCTAACGTTTACAGTTACATCTGATCAAAATCAGCATAATCTTAATGAAAACTTGTTTCACATTCATGTTGCTCTTCAATTAATGCCTATAAATATGGACTAATATATTTTCAAAATCATGAAATATGTTGTATTTCACTAGGGTAATGCTGAGAGACAAGTTCTTGTTGATGACTATGACACTGGAAAAGGGGTTGCTTTTCAGCAAGCAATTGCAAATTTGAAAGAGGTTTACACTTCTGATGGATATAAAATGTAAGTTGACTTATAATAGTAGTTTGTGTGGTTTATCTATCAAAAATAAATTTGTGATGAGTTGATGCAAATTATGGCTTAAATGGATTGAACTCGTGCATTCAATAAGTATAATAGGTTAAAATTTTATTTCAATTAAGAATTTATTTAGGTAACTATTACTTTATATGTTTGTAGGTTTTCCCGAGGTTCAGTGCAAACTACTCTTCCACCAATGAAGAATGCTAGAACTGGACGTCTTTGTGGTTCATTCGTCAATCAGATAGAGAGTCTTGAAAGAGATGCATCAAATGTAGAAGAGCGCATTGAAGAAGCTAAGGTATTGAAGCGGGGATATGATAAAGATCTTAGAATTCTCAACGAGAAGTGGCAAAATACTAAAGTAAGTTGTGTGCTTATTAATTAGTATATGAATGTATTGTGCTTACTTTCCTATATTGATCACTTAATACACTGGCTGTACTTAACTATTTACATATATACATAAGCATATATTATTGCGAAAATATTTTAATCTTCAGCTTAGACAGTTGATTGAAGAATGAATTTCATCTTATGATAATAGTTCTTCCCTAAACCATTTGAATGTGAGCAGAAATTATATGTATGTATTTGTAGAAACATCATACGAGAGATGGATGCTTGGAGAGTATTTTGGTGTACTTATTTCTCATTGACTGTTACTTGGCTGGAATATTTCTGAATTTTATTGGCACCTGTTACTTTCGAGAACCATATCATCAAGGATTTTTCCTAATAAACAAAAAATATTGACCAGTTTGATTTCTAAGTTGATCAGTTTTAGTTATAAATGAAAGGCATTCTGTTGATATAACTATTCATTCCTTTGCTTCATATAGAGGATGCGAACTGATGCTGATCGAGACTCGCAGTCTAAGGAATTCCGCTTAAACGATTTTAAAAAGTCACGGTTTGCAGAAACTTGCACCACAACTACATCCAATGATGAACTTCTTCAGGAAGAATCGGTCTTTCCTTTAAATCATTCTCATACTATAAATCCAGCATGTTCTGTTTTGTTATTATTATTTTTATTATTATAGGCAAAAATGATTCTAATTTAGTGTTATTTTCTTTTGAAACTAACGTCCAGAAAATCATCAATGAGATTCAAGAAGAGGAAAAACTTCTGGAGAAAATTCAGGTGGAATTGGAAGAAGCGGAAGATAAAAGAAATGATTTAAAGATGGAATTGGAAAATTTGTGTGGTATGCCAAATTTTTTGTTTCTTGTTAATCTGGCTATATCACAGTATTTACTGTACATGCCCATACATTTGAATGCAGGGTTGGCAAATAAGGACAAGGTTGCCTTGGGAAATGCAGAAGAGGAGCTGAAGCAGATAGTAAATGACCTAGACGATGCCAAATTGGTCTAGCTTATTTTACATTCTTTTCATTTTTGCTTTTCTTGCTGAAGTTTTTTGTTTCCTGATTATATTATTTGGAAATCACAAGTTGATTACAATTCAAATTGTTTATTCAGAAGAAGAATCATTATGAAAAGCTCATGAATAGCAAAGTCTTAACTGAACTCAAGGAGGTGGAGAAAGAATATCAAGAGCTTGAGCATAGCCGTAAGGTATGTTTCTGACCTCATGACCTCATGTTGTGGTCATAATAGTGAAAGTCAGAGAAATACAAGGGCAGTGAGTTTCTTTTTCTTTTCCCTTTTTCTGGAGAGCGGGTTGGTGGGGGGTGGGGAGTTAGACTTGACTGATTCACCTTTCCAGATCTTCTATTGTTCACTACAATTCGATATTGTTATGATACAAACCATGCAGAAAAGGAAAGTAATCAAATAATCTTTCAAATGGCAGAATTCAAGGAAGAATACAATCAGGATTAATTGATTATGTAATTCTTTGCTTATTTTACGGTCGTGTAATTAGGGATTTACTGATTATGTAATCAGTAATTGATGCTCCTTGTTTTACATATGGTAATAGATTATAAATAGGGACCCATCTATTTGAAGAGAGGGCATCCAGTGTAATTAGAAGTTAAGAACAATTAAGCTCTAAGTAGTAGAGGGTGGGAATTTATTCTTGCTGGAGAGATATTCTTAGATTCTTAGATGTCCCTTGGTTTCTTTCTTTTGTGTTTCTTGGTTCGAATCCATCGTGTCTCTTTACTCTTATCAGGTTATGTCTAGAATCCCTGTAATCCAGAACCTTTGATTAACCTTGTTGGTTCTGAGAAAGTCCTCAGATGGTCAGAAGTGACCAGCTAGGGTTCTGGATCTCTAAAAATGCAAAATTAGACCTACTGCAATGAAATTATTCTACCCATCTAAGGGTGATAGATGTGACCTTGAGTCCCAGATAGTTGTTTAAAAGTGAGGCAACCCTGAAAAGTGAATTGCATTACGTGCCCTCTTCAACTGACTGGCTAAATTTCAGGAAAGCTACAGAAAAGCTTCAATCATATGCTCTGAGAGTGAGATTGACAGTCTTGGAGGCTGCTCTGGAAGTACACCAGAGCAACTTAGTGCCCAACTTACAAGGCTAAGTAATAGACTCCAACAAGAGAGTCGGAGGTCAGGATTTTAATATTTGTTATTTTATTTTTTCATGATATATTGGTTCAATAACATGCTGATACAGTATCCTTTTGAAAACTTTTATACAGACACCCAGAATCTATTGATGATCTGCGAGTGTTGTATGAGAACAAGGAGCGAAAGATATTTAAGAAGCAGCAAACATATAAAGCGTTCCGTGATAAGCTTGCTGTAAGTATTTTTTATCCCTTGTTATTTCAGAATTCTGACAAATTCTTGGGCTGGTAAAAATATGTCCTCAATTTCACCTTTTTTCGTTTTGGTAGGTGCTATATGCACTTTGGTTAGTTACAATGATAAAAATAGAATTATATTCTGGATATCATCCGAGTAGTTTCCTTCAGTTTTCACATTTATGTCTGAACCGGAATACTGTCAAAGCATTCTCTTTCCTGTTGAGTGTGAAATGTTATGAAGTATGGGGGAAAAAGATTAACAGGGCGTTTGGTTGGAGGGATTTTAAATTCCCTTCCCACCTAATTCCAAAGGCCATTAAATTCCGTAGTTTGGTTGAAGGGAATTGCAATTCCCTCATTTTCATGGAATTTAAATCCCATGCAACCCCCCCCCCCCCCCCCCCCCTCTGGATTTTAATTCCTTGGATTTTAGGAAGAAAAAAAATACTGATGAGACAAAATTACCCTTCTCTTTTTTAACCTAAAATGAATGTCTGATCTTTCCTTTTAACAACAACAATGGGCATTTTGGACTTTATACTACTTATTCCCTTTCAATTCCCATGTATACCAAACATTGGAATTGAAATTCTCAGTAATTCTATTCCTATCAACCAAACACAGGAATTTAAATTCCCACTTTATTCCCTGTAATTCAACTCCCATGGAATTACAATTCCTTCCCCACATAAATCCCCCCCTCCAACCAAACGCCCTGTAAGGGAAAGACTTGATATCTTCAGAACACAATGTTCTGGATAATGATTTTAGATCTGGCATATATGGTTGAACTTTGTTGCATGCATGTGAAACATTCTAAAGTTTGAGTTATGCATCTCTTCCTATAATGTTGGTAGTATCCTTGTTTAATAGGAAAATAACTTCTATCCTATTGCAATGCTCATCATGGACTTTTGGTTTTCTGATTTTTATGCTGATTCTGGTCTCAGGCTTGCCGCAAAGCGCTTGATTTACGGTGGAACAAGTTTCACAGAAATGCCAGTCTCTTGAAGCGCCAGTTAACTTGGCAGTATGGCATCTGTTGTTTAAATGTCCATGTTACATGGCTATAATTTTTGTATTTAACATTTAAGATGGGCTGCAGTTTCACTTGTTAATTATCTTGATTGCCCATTTTTGCTAGATTTAATGGCCACTTGGGAAAGAAAGGGATCAGTGGGAAAATCATAGTTGATTATGAAAAGAAGACCCTTTCAGTAGAGGTAAGTTGGGAATGGTCCTAATACCTGGACATGCATGCACACTAAATTTGGATGTTCTGAAAATTTTGCCTATGGGAATTTCTTCTTCAAATCATGATGGGTTTTACTAGGTCAGATAGTATGTGCCATGCCATTGTAATGTGTTTTTCAAATTTAACCTTTCAACTTTCTTGCATCTTTCTCATTTACAGGTTACAATGCCCCAAGATGCATCAAGCAGCTCAGTTCAGGACACTAGGGGGCTTTCAGGTTTCCTTGTTTATGTTTATGTGTGTGAATAGATATCAATTTTACTTGTGTATGTATTTGTGTGTTACATAATTATTATATAATTTTTTTTTATGTAAATGTATATGTGCTACAAGCCTGCTTTGTGTTTGTTTTCAAAACCAGTCAATCAATTTTTTGTGATGTGGGCCATGTGGATTTCATCCTTTATTAAACTTAACCTATAATTTTGACATGTAATAATAAGCAACCCACACATTGGTTAGCAGTTATATGTTTTAAAGTAAATATCATATGTATATCCCCCATCATTTCTTTAAGGATACTCGCTTCAATTTATTCAAAAACTTCACAGTTCGACCTAAGCTTTCAATCAATTAACTCACAAATCTTCACCCCAAATGTCAAAATAATTTTATATGTCAGAATTTGGTGTTCTGCTTATGTGTTGCCTAACTATTTGCTTGGATGTAAGCTATGTGGCCTATCTCTAAGTTTTATCTTGATAGAAAAAGAGAACATTAATTTGACAAAACAAAGTAAATGATGAATCTATATGTTTCCAAGATTTATATTAACCAATTTATTACCAGTTATGACTATCTTGGAACGCCTTATATTTCACAACCTATTAGCAATTTATAGACAGTATTTATGTATAAATGAAAATAAATTTAAGCCTCATTTGTGAATTAGGTGATGTTTTTGAGATCTCAGTGAACTTTTATCAGAGTGCTTTTAGTTCATTTCTTCTACAAATTTACATTGAGTTAGCAATAAGAAATGTCAGTTGAGGGTCTGGCAGTAGTTTGGACCCCTGCAATATCCATTCATATATAATCCCAATATAGTATTAATAGACGATAGAGACCTATGCATGTTACAGTTGCACATGGCCAAAACTTCTCTGAAGTCCTAGCCATCCCCAAACTGGACTCCAAAAGTCTATATAGTAATAATAGTATCAGACCCATTGTCTATGTATATTTTAATTGAAAAATGAAACAAAAGCCTATATAATCAAATATCCAATGAAAAAGAAGGCTACAGGTTAAAAAACTGTTGAAATTCTGGCTATCCATGATCTAGTTACTGACTTTGCCACTCTGGTATTCCTCCCAACCCTTTGTTAGAAGCACACTTAGCCTCAGACTCATAGTGGCATGACCAGATAGGGTTTGAAACCTAGAGTTGCTACAATTCTCCCCCAGCTAATTTATTTGATGCCATGGTTACATCACTACATGTTAGTGAGCACATCTTTGATGTTTCCAAAATCTATTTTAGTCAAATTCTACTTCCCTTTGCTGTCATTCAGATTACTTGCACCCAACCAATGGCACAGTACCCTCTTTGTCACCCACTCACCCTTCCAAGGCATGGCATAGAATCGCCAACTGTCCTCTTGATAGACCTAGTGCAGTACTTATCAACTGTTGAAATTGAAGGATTGAAAGGCTTGGCAGGTGGCAAATAGCGACCACCTGCCAGTTTGGGAAAAGGTAAATATATGAAAACCACAATTAAGTACGTAGTACTAATTAGTAAGCACGCAACTTCTCATTGAGACTTCTAAGCTCTTCATCATATCAACTTTTCGAAACCTTTTCATTGCGGTCTTTTACATTTGATGCATATCTTTCAAGACACTATCTGATTGCCAATGAACCACAAAGATGTCCTGTTCTGCATTCTTCATTGGTGGAAGAATAGTTTGCACTGAACCTCAGGAAAACCTACAAACATATAAAGTTATTGTTACTTGAATGTATGGTAAGTGGGTTTCTAAGTTTTGTGCCTTGCCCATTAGTACCTTGTTCTTTTAATTGATTAATTGATGACTTGACGCTCACCTCACTGGCCACAAATGTGCACTAGTCAGTTATTGAGGCATCCTTACATCCATCACTGATGCAACTACTTTTTTGAGACACAGAGTAGCTAGAAATCCCCACTGTACTTGAGGAGCTGAATGTGGTATTAGTATAGTACTTTATGTAGATCCTTAAGTCATGCTTTTCAATGTTATACTAGTTAATAATGTTATTCTCATATCAAATTAGTTAAATTCACATTTTGAAACAATACATGAGACAATATGACTGAAGTCTATCCAATTCAGTAGTCATTTAAACAAATGGGATGGAGGCTGTTTTATTTAGTAGTCAGCTTGTGATGATGCTCTCCTAAGCATTTAATGCCAATTTGTGTTGTGGTTAACTCTTTATTTCATTTTGGTGGCTTTTTATGATGTTTACTCAGGGGGAGAACGCTCTTTCTCGACTTTGTGCTTTGCACTTGCCCTTCATGAAATGATAGAAGCACCTTTTCGAGCTATGGATGAGTTTGATGTGTTTATGGTAAATCTTTTAGTTTGCAGCATTTTGAGACTATGAACCAAGTTTTTTTTTTATTATAGGAATAAGGGTCAAATAGGCCATCGAACTGCACACTATAATTCAATTAGGCCACCGAACCTAAAAAACGAACAATTGGGTTCCTAAACTAACCAATTTCAAACAATTCTTCCAATTTGAAGGTTTCTAACCAGTCAAACAGGTCATCCTTCCAAATTAATTATTTAAATTAAAAAAATAATTTATTTTTTTTTTTAAAAAAGGACTCCGGACTGAACCGTCTCCGGCCGGTTTCTTCGTCTCCACGGCCGAGACGAAGAGTTTCTTCTTCTCCATGGCTGGAGACGAAGAAACTCTTCGTCGCCATGGCCGGAGACGATGAAACTCTTCGTCTCTGGCAGTGGACACGAAGAGTTTCTTCGTCTCCGCGGCCGGAGTCCTTTTTTTTTTTTTTTTTTTTTTTTTTTTAAATAATTTAAAAATAATTAATTTTTAAAAAATAATTAATTTGGGAGGATGACCTGTTGGAAACCTTCAAATTGGAAGAATTGTTTGAAATTGGTTAGTTTAGGGTAGGGGTGTAAACGAGCCGAGCTGAGCTCGAGCCTGGGTAGGCTTGAGCTCGAGCTCGTTAATGAAGGCTCGGCTCGAGCTTGAGAACTAATGCTCGAGCTCGGTAATTTTCTGATTGTTCGAGTTCGAACTCGAGCTCAATCTTGAGCTCGAGTTCGAGCTCGATTTTGACATTGAATTTGACCTATTAATACTTTTGATTTAAAATTCAAACTACTTTGTTTTATCCATACATAAATAATAGAAATCTTTTAGGAATTTTAAGTTTAAAATTTTAATTTCTAATTGTTATTTTTATATATTATTATATTATATTATGTATTATATATATATTATATATTATATGGCTCGCGAGCGGCTCGACGAGCCACGAGCCTAGAATATCTAGGCTCGGCTCGAGCTCGATTTCTAAACGAGCCGCTCGAGCTCGGCTTGAGCTCGATTTTGACCGAGCCGCTCGCAAGCGGCTCGCGAACTGCTCGGCTCATTTACACCCCTAGTTTAGGGACCGAATTGTTGGTTTTTTAAGTTCAATGACCTAATTGCATTATCGTGTTCCGTTCGATGGCTTATTTGACCCTTATTCCTTTATTATATTAGAATGAATACCGGTAATAAATTTCTTTTAATGAGGAATAAATCCAACCATGGCATATAGGAAATATGACAAGGCCATTTCCACTATTGCTCAATAGGAGAGTATTTAGGTTTATTCCTTTTCTTGCAAACTAGGCCATACGGTTCCCTTTCCTGTATTTATCAATTTACTTTTCTTGTTGGATGTCAAAGATTTTCTTTCAGCCATGGGGTGAGAGGTTTTCGGTTTCTCAGTGGGAATAGTCATTGGCAACCAGTTTTTCCAACTTGAAGATTATCTTGAAAAGTCATTGCTTTATGGTTGGTGTGCAGGATGCAGTAAGCAGAAAAATCAGCCTGGACGCTCTTGTTGACTTTGCATTGGCTCAAGGATCGCAGTGGATATTCATCACACCTCATGACATTAGGTAATCTAACAATCAGGCTTTAGTGTTTGATTTGATCTGAGGTCCTGCCATTTCAAACATCCAATTCTGATGAACATTTGATATTTTTGTTGTCAGTATGGTGAAGCAGGATGAGAGGGTGAGGAAGCAGCAAATGGCAGCTCCTCGTGCATAACTATTCTGTTGTATTACTCAAACCAGAATTGAGTTGTGTAGAATACATCAAATCTTTTGACCTTGATAACCATGATTTATGTTATTTTGACATTTGAAGGGGATGTATCTTCATGCTCTCTGGCTTCATGGTCATGTTTTATATTTATCGAATTGGTTAATTAAAGTGCCATTACAACTCCTTTACTCCTTTACTCCTTTTTCTTTATCCATTCAATATGGCTCAAAGTTAATTCAAATCACTTTTTTATTTTTTATTTTTAAAAAATGTTTTGACTAACTAAAAACATATTAAAACCACTCATTTGCAATTTGTGATTTGTACTTTCTGCATTAATTGTACTAAACTAGTATTTCTAACAAGTTTGCTATCTAGATATGTGCACTGTCAAATGTGAGCAATTCAACCAAGAGTTCTACATGTACTTTTAATTTTTTGCTTCCTCACTTGTGGTAAATATTGACAAGTTATCTTTATTATGTGGGTTGTAGATTTTACGAGTGTTTTCCTTCCATTAAGGCTCAATGTTTCAACTCTGCATCAATACATTCAGATGGTTAGGACGTCGACATATAATGGATAGGTTTATAAGGGTTAATTTAGACGGCTTTTAAGAGGAGTGGTGAGTTGATTGATTGATCAAAATCGGATAAATCTTTGCTTTATATGAGGGTATTTTAGGATGAGAGGAGTTTGGAGAAGGCCGAATATCAATGCATTTGTTGTGTATGTTTTATATGTTTATAATTTTGGATAGATTATTATCACAATTAATGAAAGAATTATCTTTGTTAGAGCTACAAATTTACTTGGAATAAAAGTCAAATAAGCCCTTCAATTTTTATAAAAAGTGTAATTAAGTCATCGAATTTAAAAAATCTCCAAATAAGTCATTGAACTTGAATGATGTAATTAAATCATTTTTACCACCTATAGTAGGTTAACATGTTATAGGTTTATAACTAGCTTAGGGTGATCACGGTTCCAATTCTTAATCGGAGGTTTTCAATTTTGAAAAATGTCAAATAGATAATTCTGGTTTTAATTGATGGTTCAAACTGTTTTTTTTTTTTTTTTAGTAAATTCTGTTTTTTTTTTCTTAAAATACTTTAAATTCAACAATTAATTTTATTTAAAGAATTTTTCATTCTTGAATTTTTTAAAAATGGTTCTCTCAATTTTTTTAACCATATATTGATTAAAGCAAAAGATTCGAGATAAAATTAAGGGGGGATAGGGTCCTAGTATAAATTGATTACCAGAGAAGAGACATGTTGTGCTAATGTATGAGCTAAAGCATTAGAGGATCTAGGAAAAAAATTAATAGAGCAATGATTAAAAGAACTCATTAATGCCAACATATATAAGACCCATTTATAGGGGAGGACGCTTTTAGATTTTGACAAAGAGTAGCAGAGTCTGTTCGTAGGAGTATGGTGGTCACCCTGTGCCCCTTCGACCACGAGAAGGCTTCCTTGCAAGCTAACATATCGTTTAATACCAGAAACGCATTTCCCAAATGCGGATTAGTGAATTACATGTATACTATAGCCGCATTTGGGAAATGTGCGTGGTTGACGTATTTTATACGTCAGCTGCACTTCCTAAATGCGGAAGACGTAGACGGTGGCATTTAATTCGACCGAGTTTGAAAATGCGGTTTTCAGCCTAACCGCGTTTTCCAAATTCGATTTTTCCTTGACCGTCAAAAAATAGTCAGCGTCCTATTTTTGTCCAACAATAAGGCGAAATGCCTATAACAGTCAATTTCCCTTTATAACCATGCTAACATCAAATGCTCTTAGTTGTTCAAAAAATGTATGAGATGTTAGGCATCATCTGGCTGAAGATGCATAATACAATCAACATAGATTATTAGTTGATCCAGGTAATAACATATTTTACTACCTAAGTTTTGAAATTATAACAATTGTTGGAATGTATGATATGCATTATATTCCTAATTATTTTCTAAAAATTTGTCTAGATTTAGTTTTGACAAATAATGATAAGAAGAACTACGCCTTAATTAAATTGGAAAAGTTGCTTAGTACATGGAGTAAGAGCTTGATAAATTTCCCACCAATGTCAAATTTAGACTTAAGTTGCAAATGATTATCTGATAATCAATTATTGTGTGAGGAATTGTCATATGATTGTAAAACCCTTAAGGAAGAGCATGATACGTTGGTTAAGCAATCAACTAATGAACAAAAACATGTCTATAACAATATACTTGGTGATGTTGAGCTATGAGCTATCTAGAAATGGATTACATTTTATGTATATATGGCTATGGAAGAACACGTACGACTTTTGTTGATTCAAGTAGTATTGTTTATCTACTTTATGCCAGGTGGTAAGATCGCAAATTCTCGATTAGCCATTCCTATATATTGAGATAACGGAAGATTCAATGTGCAATCTCATAGAGGGGTGATCTTGCTTAGTTGATTATAAATTGCAAATTGATAATTTGGGATGAGGCGTTTTGATTCATAACATTGTTTTGAGGCATTGGATTATACTCGAAAAAGATGAATTTGTCAGAGACGAAAATAATTAAAATACTCCCATTAGTTTATCTATTAATATTTTTTGGTGAGATTTTGCCGTTAATTGACCAAAATTGAGATTTACTCTTTCTAGTATAGGAAGGAGAGTCTCGTGCCGTTAATTGACCAAAATTGAAATTTACTCTTTCTAGTATAGGAAGGAGAGTCTCGTCGTTGACCCGCGTCGCAAACCTGCTAAAGCTCTTTTTTTTCAAGACTGTTCATAACTACTTTCTCAAGTTACTAAAGCACAAATAGTCAATATTAACTCCATTAAGGCTTGATCCCACAACCTCCTATATGGAAGTTCAACTTGGTGCCACTAGACCACACAATCTTTGCTATAATTTTGATATTTAATTATAAGATAGTGTAAAAAAAATTAAAAAAAAAAAAAAGACAATCTAGTTAATATAATTAATTAATAGATTTGAAAGTTATGGTGCATTGTAAGAAATAAAAAATAATATACCTCATAAAATTATATCTTTTTTAACAATTTTTGATAATGAATATTTTTTTTTTAAATAAAGACATTGTAGACATCCAATTCTAAATTAAATGAATGCATATATATTAATTTTTGTTATAACTACTAATTAATTTAATTTAATAAGAGTAATAAAGTGGCTATTACTTTTTATCTACTGATGTAGCAAAAATAAGATGTGAGCTCGGGTGTGTAATGTCGTCCTCTGGGGATTGGGGGATATGGCACGCAATATGCAATCATAATAAACTAGGCACTAGCATAAGGAAATCAACAAGAAGCTAAGCAAACTACAAGTTTAAGGAAATGATAAGACTAACACATATACACAAAGATAAACACAAAATAAAGAGATAGGACTCAAGCTAGGGAGCATTATCATCTAGATGCTTTAACAACCTAAGGGATTAGGGAGAACAAGTAACTAAGGAAACAAGCGGGAATGCACGTAGGTATCCTAGTCTACGAACCATTCTCATGATTAATAAACAAGGATTAGGACAAGGAAATGCCCCACTTTCGTGGTGAATCAATTCCAAGTCTATCAAGCACACAAAGCATCTAAACCCCCCAATTTCCCCTATTTTCATAGGAAGAAATCGGGTTTATGCAAAGGGTGGCTTGGATCCACCACCCAACTCTCATTGAGGCAAGGAATCCTCCAAAAACAAGCTAATGAATGTGTACATCAAACATTAACAAGATATAAATACAAAACCTTTACAAACACATGAACCCTAGGTTGGAGTTCTTCCCCTTTTTTACAATAATCACAAATCAAGCATCAAGATAGATAATACAACCCTAACTCAAGTCCATAAACTAACTACTCATGATTAACTAGCATAAAGAACACAAAAGCATAAGTAACAAACATAAATCTTGCAAAAGAAAGAGATAAAAGGAAGGAAAGCTTCTCTATTGAAAATGGATGGTGGAATCTTGAAATGTTGGAATCCAAGCTTCAAATCCAAGATTACAAGCTTCAAAAGTGTGAAGAAACATAAATCTAAGCCTAATCTAACCTAAAAATATGAAAGGAAGTGAAAGGAAATGTCTAGGGTTGGAACAAGGTCCAAAAACCAAGTAGAAATGACTAAAATCGCGCCTATATAGTGGACAGAGCACAGTGGGACGCCCTCAGGGATGGGCGTACGCCAGGGGGTACGATTTTTGGTGCATTTCCAGTGAAAACTGCATCAGGGAGAAGAGATGCGTACTGGCATACGTATGGGCGTACGGCAGGGCGTACGAGGCTCCTGGAAACAGAATTCTGTGCACTTGTCTTGACTTCTAGGCTATTTTCCTCCTCTAAAACCATTTTATTGGCACTTATGGTCTTCAACAAAGTTGTAGCCCTTTAAGTTGGCTTTCCAATGGAGCAATAATCACTTCATTTGGACATTCCTAGGCCGAGATATGATCAAAAAACCGAACAGTGTCCGAAATGAGCGAAAATTACAATGTCTTGATTTTTTGCTCCTCTTTTGTTTTGATTTGCCCAAATGACTAAGACCATTGAATACACCACTCTTAGGCTCCCTTGGAAGTGTTTTGCCCATCTCCATAGCTTCTCCTTGGCTCCCATGGACTCCTAATGCGTCCAAAATGCCCCATTTGACTCCAATGTCCACCAAAATGCCTGAAAATACTCATCTTTGTTTCCAAACAAAACTCCTTACAAAATAACACAATTTAATCATAATCTCATGAAATTTGGAATGATCTATAAGCAAAATGGCTTAGTGAAAGGGGGAAAAATATAGATAAATAAGCATTTATCATCTACACCAATGAAGTCATTGATTTTTTTTTTTTTTTCATTTTGAGACAAAGTCTTTTAAAAGTTTGTCAATACAATTGCTATGATTACTGCTTATAGAGAATGGAGATAAATAATTTGAAATATATAGTTACAATAGATATTTTTATAATCATAAAATAAAAATTAACTTACAAATATCTTTAAAAATTTTCACAAATAAATATTAATGAAATATTCCGTTACTAAAGTTTATACTAACGAAATGCTGGGGTATTTAAGGGAAGAAAATTACTGAGTATATTTTTGAATGCTACTGGCTCTATTACATTGTAGTATCTGTTCATATACTTTCTCAACCTACTGAAATACA